AGTAAGTTTTTTTTAGCACATTTTACCATTTCTAGTGAATTTTGTCCACTTATATTGGTATTTTTAGTAAATTTTGTGTATCTATGTTGAATTTTTAGTGAATCTGCGCATTTAATTTATCATTTCTAACTTCATTAAAACCACCAAAATTAAATGCTCAGAGTATATTAAAAATGTCAAAATAAACGTGAAAAAAACGAAGTACGAACATTCATTTTATCATTTTCTAATGAATTTTACCTGATGTTTTTCAATTTGACATTTTATTTCAACGAATTTTGCGCTCGAACATTTGAAAATAAAGATTAAAATTTTAGGTTTTTTGTAAAAAAAAAAAATTCGAAAATAAATAAGCTTTCTAAATATAGAAAGATTTTAAATGCCGAAATATAAATATTTTTGAATTGAGCCGAACCCATGACAGAAGTAATTTATATAACATAATGTCGTGGGTTCGTTTACCATCCTATTATTATAAAATCAGTATAGAAAGACAATACAGTAGAGCGTCGTTTATCCGAAAGCTGGTTATCCGAAACATTCTGTTATCCGAAAGCATTCCAGTCGGCAAATTTAAATTTTCGCTAGTGCTGTGGCGCTTCAATCTTTGGCTATGTCTTGGGCTACTCAAATATTTTACGTTTTTGATACTAAATTAACATCTGAAGTATAATTTTTTATTGTTTTTATATTTTTCAATATATTTATTTTGTTTGTACAAAATAAAAAAATAATTTTTAACGATACAATAGTCTTTGTTAGGCTTAACATCGACGAAAATTCAACGCGAAGCGACACGCAACGNTGTGTTGTATTACATTGAGTTTCTATTGTTTTCTTTTGACGTTATGCTGTGTTGTATTACATTGAGTTTCTATTGTTTTCTTTTGACGTTATGCTGTGTTGTATTACATTGAGTTTCTATTGTTTTCTTTTGACGTTATGCTGTGTTGTATTACATTGAGTTTCTATTGTTTTCTTTTGACGTTATGCTGTGTTGTATTACATTGAGTTTCTATTGTTTTCTTTTGACGTTATGCTGTGTTGTATTACATTGAGTTTCTATTGTTTTCTTTTGACGTTATGCTGTGTTGTATTACATTGAGTTTCTATTGTTTTCTTTTGACGTTATGCTGTGTTGTATTACATTGAGTTTCTATTGTTTTCTTTTGACGTTATGCTGTGTTGTATTACATTGAGTTTCTATTGTTTTCTTTTGACGTTATGCTGTGTTGTATTACATTGAGTTTCTATTGTTTTCTTTTGACGTTATGCTGTGTTGTATTACATTGAGTTTCTATTGTTTTCTTTTGACGTTATGCTGTGTTGTATTACATTGAGTTTCTATTGTTTTCTTTTGACGTTATGCTGTGTTGTATTACATTGAGTTTCTATTGTTTTCTTTTGACGTTATGCTGTGTTGTATTACATTGAGTTTCTATTGTTTTCTTTTGACGTTATGCTGTGTTGTATTACATTGAGTTTCTATTGTTTTCTTTTGACGTTATGCTGTGTTGTATTACATTGAGTTTCTATTGTTTTCTTTTGACGTTATGCTGTGTTGTATTACATTGAGTTTCTATTGTTTTCTTTTGACGTTATGCTGTGTTGTATTACATTGAGTTTCTATTGTTTTCTTTTGACGTTATGCTGTGTTGTATTACATTGAGTTTCTATTGTTTTCTTTTGACGTTATGCTGTGTTGTATTACATTGAGTTTCTATTGTTTTCTTTTGACGTTATGCTGTGTTGTATTACATTGAGTTTCTATTGTTTTCTTTTGACGTTATGCTGTGTTGTATTACATTGAGTTTCTATTGTTTTCTTTTGACGTTATGCTGTGTTGTATTACATTGAGTTTCTATTGTTTTCTTTTGACGTTATGCTGTGTTGTATTACATTGAGTTTCTATTGTTTTCTTTTGACGTTATGCTGTGTTGTATTACATTGAGTTTCTATTGTTTTCTTTTGACGTTATGCTGTGTTGTATTACATTGAGTTTCTATTGTTTTCTTTTGACGTTATGCTGTGTTGTATTACATTGAGTTTCTATTGTTTTCTTTTGACGTTATGCTGTGTTGTATTACATTGAGTTTCTATTGTTTTCTTTTGACGTTATGCTGTGTTGTATTACATTGAGTTTCTATTGTTTTCTTTTGACGTTATGCTGTGTTGTATTACATTGAGTTTCTATTGTTTTCTTTTGACGTTATGCTGTGTTGTATTACATTGAGTTTCTATTGTTTTCTTTTGACGTTATGCTGTGTTGTATTACATTGAGTTTCTATTGTTTTCTTTTGACGTTATGCTGTGTTGTATTACATTGAGTTTCTATTGTTTTCTTTTGACGTTATGCTGTGTTGTATTACATTGAGTTTCTATTGTTTTCTTTTGACGTTATGCTGTGTTGTATTACATTGAGTTTCTATTGTTTTCTTTTGACGTTATGCTGTGTTGTATTACATTGAGTTTCTATTGTTTTCTTTTGACGTTATGCTGTGTTGTATTACATTGAGTTTCTATTGTTTTCTTTTGACGTTATGCTGTGTTGTATTACATTGAGTTTCTATTGTTTTCTTTTGACGTTATGCTGTGTTGTATTACATTGAGTTTCTATTGTTTTCTTTTGACGTTATGCTGTGTTGTATTACATTGAGTTTCTATTGTTTTCTTTTGACGTTATGCTGTGTTGTATTACATTGAGTTTCTATTGTTTTCTTTTGACGTTATGCTGTGTTGTATTACATTGAGTTTCTATTGTTTTCTTTTGACGTTATGCTGTGTTGTATTACATTGAGTTTCTATTGTTTTCTTTTGACGTTATGCTGTGTTGTATTACATTGAGTTTCTATTGTTTTCTTTTGACGTTATGCTGTGTTGTATTACATTGAGTTTCTATTGTTTTCTTTTGACGTTATGCTGTGTTGTATTACATTGAGTTTCTATTGTTTTCTTTTGACGTTATGCTGTGTTGTATTACATTGAGTTTCTATTGTTTTCTTTTGACGTTATGCTGTGTTGTATTACATTGAGTTTCTATTGTTTTCTTTTGACGTTATGCTGTGTTGTATTACATTGAGTTTCTATTGTTTTCTTTTGACGTTATGCTGTGTTGTATTACATTGAGTTTCTATTGTTTTCTTTTGACGTTATGCTGTGTTGTATTACATTGAGTTTCTATTGTTTTCTTTTGACGTTATGCTGTGTTGTATTACATTGAGTTTCTATTGTTTTCTTTTGACGTTATGCTGTGTTGTATTACATTGAGTTTCTATTGTTTTCTTTTGACGTTATGCTGTGTTGTATTACATTGAGTTTCTATTGTTTTCTTTTGACGTTATGCTGTGTTGTATTACATTGAGTTTCTATTGTTTTCTTTTGACGTTATGCTGTGTTGTATTACATTGAGTTTCTATTGTTTTCTTTTGACGTTATGCTGTGTTGTATTACATTGAGTTTCTATTGTTTTCTTTTGACGTTATGCTGTGTTGTATTACATTGAGTTTCTGTTGTTTTCTTTTGATGTTATATTGTAATTGTTTTTTAATTATAAATGTAAGAAATTGATTGATTTATAGAATTAAATCCGTCATCTTCAAAGAGATTAACTATTTTAAAATTATTAGATAAGTAACAAGAACTTTTAAGAGGATTATAAAGTGATGAATTATTATCAGAAGTTTAAATTCATTATTAAAATTTCAAGGATAAATATGAAAAATTTCGAATTAAATTAATTTATAAAACATATATTAAAAAAAAAACAATTACGTTTACTTTTATTTCTTCGAAGAATGATTAATTTTATTGATCGAAGTTAAGGAGTAATGAATTTATAAGAGAAAAAAACAATTAAAATAAATAAACGATTAACAAGATGAATTGATGAATTGCTTGAGTTATTGCATTACTTTATAGAAAACACTTCGTAAAACTTTTCTATTATAATAGTGATTTTTATTAATTAAAATCGAGTTTTTGAATTGTGTTTAGTATTGTTTACAGCTGTTTAATTATTTATTCTGATTTTTTTAAGATATCTTTTCCCCTACTAAATTTTATTGTTTTAGATTGTCTTTTCTGTGTCTTCCATTTTGTATGATTGACGTTTTAGGAATTTCTGCTATTTTCTATTATATTTGAATTTTTTTTTCCTGCGTTTTTCCTGAAGCGGAACGTTTTTTTTATTGAGTTTTATTTTGTATATTTTTTTCTGTATTACTTTCCCGGCTGTCATATATAAACAAAGGGGAAGTACAACGATCGGTTGAAAAATGACCCTCCAAGATTTTTATATTTTTTGGACTCCGGGGACCTTGAAACGTCGAGAAATGCAAAAACATTGAGGGGTATTCTATTTGTATGGATGTTAGTGTATGTGTGTGGGGGGGCACGATTGTGTTCAACCTGTTTGAAGCTTAATAATAAAACCTTTGCTTTTTGTTGAAAATTTCTGAAATTTTTCAGGGAAGTTTTTTTTTCATTAGGTGGATCGATTCTATTAACTTTTAGTGGTTAAAGGTCAACGAGGTGGGAAGATAAATGGAGTCGTGTGTATCTCCAAGTATAATGACGATTTTACTCGTTATTAGCATTTAAAATTATTTTTAAAACCAATCCCTACCCTCAAAATTATTAAGCAATTTTATAATAGTTAAAAATATAAAAAGTTTTTTTTTAAAATAAAATAATATGATAATAGATGGAGCCAGCGAAATTTTAAATGTTGCCGGGAAAGTCTAGCAACTCGTTGCTGTTATGTGGAGTTTTTTTATTGGTGTGTTTTGATGTGTGTTAATTTCTTGAAAAAAAAATCACATTAATTAATAAGTAATAAATAAAAGGAACATTTTACAAATTAAATTATACATTTATTCAAATAAATAATTACAATTAAAACATAAAAATAACATAAAATATTAAAGAATATTAACATAAATTTATGTTACACACACAATACATAAACTGAGTCGTTAAATAAATATGAACTTAGAGTTAATAATAATAATAATAATACTGTTTACTTTTTAAGTAATAAATACTGTAATACACAATTAGAGATGTTTATTTACATTCTAAAGAGGAGAAAATAATTATAAAATATTTATTCTTTTCCTTAAATTCATCATTCTATGAAGATGCCGATGATGGTGATGATGACAATGTCTGTTTTATATTAAATGTATGGGGTACAGCGATAGCGACAGACATCATGTCACCAGTACTACGTGACATTCTAGAATTTAATTTATAATCTCTGGATAATTCGCAGAATAATAAGCGACTTTTCGATTGGTCTAAAAATAATGGAAGATTATGATTCGAGGGATTCGATTTGTTTATGGGGGGATTTAATTTGCAACTGTATATTGGGATGTTGGGTTCTAACATTCGTATTTTACCCCATTTGTTGAAGAAGATGAAGATGACGATGATCCATACCGTTAGAACTGATGCCATTATCAGGATATCTTCTGGAGGGATTGATAAATGTTGCTTTCCTGTTGTGAAGTTTTTCCTCGTTTCGTTAACTACAGAAAACATAAATTATTATTATTATTAAAAATAATAAAAATAAAATTTCAGATAAATATAATATTTTAAAATTAAAAAAAAAAATTTTTATTATCTACAGGTGGCGCTTCATTTGTACGTTGCATCACCGTGACGTTCAAACTACGTCATTTAGTTTAGGAAATTTAAAATTTAAAATTAATTTATTTGCTGTATTTAATCAAAATTTTCCCTCTAATAAATAACTAGTATTTATATAATTTTTTTTAATATAAATAAAACATTTTTCAAATTTCAAAATTATCTGTTGTTCTTTAATTTTTCATCAGTTGGCATACTCAAATAAACAACATACGTCACGAGTGACGCATTTCAAACGTCACTTAATACCTGTTGCGTCAGTCCGATGTCGCAAAACTACATCACGTTTTCTCGAAACAATTTAAAATTTTGCATAGAAGGTATATATTTGTAGTATTTTTTTAAATTATTTTTTCAAATGTACTGAGGACCTCTGAAAAGTGCCTCGACTTCTGAAAAGTTCTGCATTTCTACGTGTGGTTTTTCAGTTGTACAGTACGGTACAGTATATTCTAAAGCCCAGAAAGAGAGGAGCAGAACATGAGAACCAAATGGGGTCATATGAGGTCCCATTAGAGATCATCATTCAAACTTTATCACCTTTCCTCTCGTGGTACGTTGTAGAAGATTAGGAAATTTATTTTCTGTCATCTATTTCTCTCATTTTCGTGACATTTATCCCCCCTTTACCTATATTAATATAAACTTTTATAACTATTTTTTTTATTTTTAAAGATTCTTATAACTTAATTCATTTATTTACTTTTTTCTAATATTATTACTAATACATAATCATTTATTATGACAAACATTTTGCAATTTCTCTTTGTCTGTCTGTCACGCTTTCGTATCTATTAAGAAGACGTATTTATTTAGAAACGAATTATAATTCTTAACACTTTTAAAGCCGTTTGTTTCCTTTTAAAATTGAGCATCACTAAGAATACTTTTCAACCTTACTTATTACATCGTTCAAACGTTATAGAAAAAAGCGCCCGCGAGCTACACGTTGGGATTCAAAGTGTGCTACGTGATAAGTGACATTATCAATGATAAGTAAAGAATGTTAAGTAAATAAACAAAGAAATAAAGAGTGAAAGTATCTACTGTAGTATCGTCAAATCCCTTTTCATTTCCAGGAATATTATCGCTATCAATCTTGACAGGGATTTGGCTTACTCCAACATCACCCTTTATAATCTTCCTTGAGGAAAGAAGTAAAGAAAAACGATTTCTTACCATAAATAATCTTAAAGATTTTTACTTACTTTTATTTTTATAAAAACAAGAATAAATTTATCCATTTTTTTTCCTAAGAATCAAAAGATTTTAAGTGACTTTTTTGTATGTAAAATGGATGATTTTTAACTTATTCTTTGAATTTTCTTTTTTTTTAAATAAAATTTTGCTTGTAAGATTCTGTGAAAAGTTGAATCGATATGTTGCTATGACTACAAGATGGTTCCTGCTGCAAAAGCCAATGAACTGTACCAAACTGAATTGATGTCGTGCAGTCGAAAACGGTGATTATAAGCAAAAATATGCAATTTTTTCCACGAAAAACCGGTCTTAACCGCGTGTAAATTACTTTGTAAACTTCGTTTTACAGATTTAGTGAATAAAAAATAAGTTCCCTTCCTTAAAAATCTATCTAACACTGTTTTAAACTCGTACTTTTCAACCTTACTCATTCGCGTAATGAAACGTTATCGAGAAAATCGCTCGCGAGTTACTCGTTGGAAAACTGATAGGGGTAAAACTTGCAAATTTGTGTTTCCTGAAGCGAATTTCGAGCTCCAAACCGAAAGGATAAATTTAGATTTAGCTTTAAATTTTATTTGAATTATTTTCCGAATTCTTATTTTATATATTTAGTAAATATAAATAAAGCATTTAGTTAAAAAATATATTAAAAAAAGTATTAAGAAATCCAGCAGCGAGTTGCGTGACTTTCCCAGCCAAGCTTTAAAATTGCGTATGGCGCCATCTGTTAGGAGACTTTTTAAATATATTATTAATTATTATAAAGTGGCAAAAAGTTTCATTTCGAGAGTAGTGGCGAGCTTTATAAAAACATTGTAATTGCAAATAACCTGTAAAAACTTTGACCCCAATACAGATACGGCACGTGACACACTATATTTCTCCAGCCCCTTGACCCTTAACCACCAAAATTTATTAGCATCAAATATCCTAATGCATAAATCCCCTTGCAAAATTTCGGAAATTTTCGACAAGAGATACAGAAGTTATTAAGCTTCAAAGATTCCAGCAAAATTTCAAGGCCGAAACCTGAAGCTAAATTGCAAAAATTTTCGCTTTTCTATTTATTTTATAAATCGAGCCATTAAAGTACTACATTTTACTTAGAATAAATCAAAAATATTAAGAAATAATACAAAAAATATGATTTTTTACAATTTACATTCGTCTCAAGTGCACGAAAACCTAGAACTAAATTGTCACATTTATCTTCTAAACACCGCTCGTCTGCGGTGTTTTCATCTTTTAAGTGTCAGTTTCGTGTCTATTTTTAAATAGAAAACAGTAAAAAACAGCAAAAATGCCTCCTGATTATTTTTTATTTTTTCGTCATCGGGGTCAAAGTTTTCACGCGCTTTTTTTTTTTACTATTTATTCGAGGGAAATTCGGAGAAGAAGAGCAATTTCTTAATTTAGAAACGTCTGAAAGTCAGCATAAAATACCAAAAAAAAAAAAAAATAGCAATAATAAAATAAAATAAAATTCTATATTTTAAGAATTAATTTTTAACTTTGTAAACCCCAAAAATCGACTGTAAAAATTGAAAAATTAATTAAAGGATTCAAAAATTAACTTATTAATCAACGAAAATATATAAATTAAGCNCGAAGCGACACGCAACGGAGAAAAATTTCAACATGGGATAAATTAATATATTTTTTCGTACATGATTCGTTATCCGAAAATTAAGTTATCCGAACTACCCCTGTCCTCAATTGATTCGGATAAACGACGCTCTACTGTATAAGGATGAAGTAATCTATTCACGAATCGGATTTAAACTCAATACACTACAAGAGTCGTAGATTCAGTTCTATTAATTAATTGAAAAAATTAACAAAAGGACAAGTTAGAAGCAATATCCTTAATTTATACTCCTGAATGGAACCGAACCCGCTACTTTCGAACGCGAGTCGTGGGTTCGGTTCCTTAACAGAGAGATTTTAAACTGTATTTCCACTTCAAGCAATCAGATTTGGCAGACACGCTTATCAAATGATGACATCCTTCAACCTGTAAGCAAGAAAATCACTGGTGTAATTAATCCTATCAATTCACTGACGTGTTAGGAAATTACAATTTTCCACGTTAAACCAGAAATTTCTAATCGCCAGCGTTAAAAGTTAAATATAACACTATTATAATTCAATTATTTCTTGCACTACTCGCAACTCCTTCTTTTCAGGAATTTATATTGGGATTATTATTAGTTTTTTTAATAATAATAATAATTATCTTAAACATTATATAATGTTTATTATTATTATTGAAGAAAAGTAATTATTTTTAATTAAATTTTTCGCATGAAATGCAATCAATCGTGTGTAAAATGTTGGCATTCCGACATTACACATTATCTGTAATTTTTTTTATGCTTAATGACGTACAGTTGAATACTTCAAAATGTCGGAGATAAATGTCAAAAAACACGATTTTTCTAAAAGATTCTGTCGTAAAGAACAATGGAAAATGTCAGAAAATATATCAGTTTTTGTTGGGAATAAAAGAACAACTGTGACATAAACTGCGGCATAAATTATATATAAATGTTACATATCATATACTGTCACATAAATAGGTCCATAAACTGCATATAAACTGTAATATCAGCTGTTATGAACTATAATATGCATAACCTGTGGCATAAACTGTGGCATAAACTGACATAAACCACAAATAAATTGTGGCATAAACTTTATGTAAACTGTGACATATACCGTTGCATAAATTGTGGCATAAACTGGCATGAACTACATATAAAAATAATATAAATATAATTATTAAAAATATATATATCTATCAACGAGTTGCTTAACTTTCCAGGCAACATTTAAAACTGCATGTGTGGCGCCATCTGTTATATTTTATTGAAAACTTTATCTTTAACTGTTATAAAATGGCAAAAACCTTAATTTTCAGTTTAGGGACGGGTTTTATAAGAAAAACAATTGTAAATGCTAATAACGAGTAAAATCGTCATTAAGTTTGACCTTATTGGAGATACGACACACGACCATATTTATCTCCCCAACCCGTCGCCAAAATTAAACCACCAAAATTTAACATCATCAATTCACCTAATAAGGAAGCCTCCCTGCCANTTTTACTATTTATTCGAGGGAAATTCGGAGAAGAAGAGCAATTTCTTAATTTAGAAACGTCTGAAAGTCAGCATAAAATACCAAAAAAAAAAAAAATAGCAATAATAAAATAAAATAAAATTCTATATTTTAAGAATTAATTTTTAACTTTGTAAACCCCAAAAATCGACTGTAAAAATTGAAAAATTAATTAAAGGATTCAAAAATTAACTTATTAATCAACGAAAATATATAAATTAAGCTGAAAAATAAGCTTATAAGCTTATTTTTCAGGCTTTTTTTTCTAAATTTGACTGACTGTCTGATTGTCTGTCCACAAGATTTCCTAGAAACTTGAGAAAATTAGTTAAAATTTTGGAATTTTTATAAATTACATTTACAAATTCTTAACACATTTCTTCATTGAGTCACATTTTAACGGTTGTAAAAATTTAAGTGTCTATTTTTTTTTTTTTTTTTTGGAAGTTAAAATAAGTGAGAAATAATTCTAATTTCATAATAATTGTGTTTATGTGTAATTTCGCTTGTCTGTTTATTAGCGAGATTTTTCGCTTTCTTAAGAACAGACAAACAGACGAACGAACGACGAAATGATACGAGTAATTGGCAAAAAGGTATTCTCGTACCCATAAAACATAATTATTTATGGTGTTAAATTAATATTAATGATATTTTGCTTTAAAAATTATGTTTTTTTTTCTTAGGTAAACTTCTAAAAATACAAAAATTTTTTGACATTTTTAGTTGTTTAATATATTAATAATAATACAATAAACAAACGAAATTTATCTTCTAAAAATTTCTTTTAAATACCATTAAATTTAATTAAGATTTAAGATAATTACTAACTCTATAATTACAATTTTATTCATTATATGACTTACATATAGCCATATATTCCTCATAATATACGGTTACATTCTGTNTACAATAAACAAACGAAATTTATCTTCTAAAAATTTCTTTTAAATACCATTAAATTTAATTAAGATTTAAGATAATTACTAACTCTATAATTACAATTTTATTCATTATATGACTTACATATAGCCATATATTCCTCATAATATACGGTTACATTCTGTTCCTCGATGAATTGAGGATGTAGAGATGAGTTTTCTGTCTTCGATTCCAGCTTGACAGACTTACAGACGACTTAGAAATTACTAAAAATATACAGGAAAAAGGTTGGTAGAAGTTTAAAAAAAAAAAAATTCCAAAAATTTGCCTTATATCCAGTAAAAATATCACTTTTTTTCTTATCTAAAAAACACTAATTTTATAAATTAATTTTAATCATGATAAAGGATGATGATGATGATGATGATAATTGAGGTTTAATCTTGAAAAATCTATAAAAAATTGACTATTTATCATCAAATTTTATACGTTAAACTCTTATGAAACTGCTAAATCATCATCCTTCTTTTAAAGGATGATGATGATGAATTAGGAATTTCCTCATTTCTTGAATAAAAGAAGGAATTTCATTCTAAAAAAAAATTTGTTAATTTATTTATTTTTCGAATTTTTTTAGAATATTTAAATTGCTCAAGAAGAATCTATCGATTTTTTAGAATTTATAATATTAATGCTGAATTCGAGACGAGTATCAGAATAGCAAGAAAGGTTTTTCTTTTTAGGTGAAGAATACTTTAATATCTTGATATTAAAAAATTTTGGAATTCAAATTTTTTCTTTTTTTAGTTAAATTAAATTATATTTTATACATTTTTTGGATCTTCCATAATAAATTTCATACAAAAATTTATCTGTCGACCGCATTAAATGATTTTTATATCCGTTTTTACATGGGAATGTCACCCTTTTTTTTGGTGTAAAAATGGTGAAGGTGAACGTTTTTTTGCGATTATACACATAATTTCTACGTACAGTATACTATAATTTACCAAAGTAAGTGTGAGAAGAGAGTGGAAGAGTAAAGTTTAGTTCACACTAACTCGTTTGACGGGTTATTCCCTCTGTTTTTCGCTTTCGCCAGCGAATCGCGCTCAGTGTGAACTAAGCTTAAAAGTTATCGTGGAGCTTGGCATAAATTAGCATAAGCAGATGATACACATTGTTATATATGTTATGGACAAAGTGGGCATTATTCATAATGCCCGGTCATTATGAATGATGACCAAAAAGGGTGCGCAAATTAATTAATTAATTAACTCTTTCCGCCCTGTGGGCACTAAGAGGGCCTCTTTTTGCAAGCCCATTATGGGTTCGGCCAGGCCCACAATGGGGCTGCCGGGTGGTGATAGACGGGGCCCGACATATCCGAACGGACCACCCCCCTAAAAATTCCTCGGGATTTTTCGACTCGTTCGGATTCGAACCCGGATCCCCCAGAGCGGTAGGCTGCCACCTTGACCGCTCGGCCATTCGGCCGACAGTTAGGGACTAGGGAGACCTCGGTAGGAGTAACGTAAGTAACCTAAATCAAGAAAGAACTACAGATGACTTAGCTCTATTGGATATTGGAGATGTGTACGAATACGAATCCTGAAAGAAAAAAAAAAGGGTCGACAGGTTTCACACGATATTCCCGGACAAAATTAATAGTTTACCCGGACATTGAGTGGATTCCCGGACTGTCCGGGTGAAAACCGGATGGGTGGTAACACTACATAATAGGCCCTATATTAGTTACTATTTCTATAGTACACATTATAACAGTAAAGTAATGGTTCTAAATATATAACCATAGTATACAGTCTACATTGTTATACACATAATAGTTATTAAATATACTGTGGAAGTAGTACCATAAATCATCATGTATTTTTAGAAATCTACATAAATTACCATAAAGTTGTATTATTTATGACCATAACTTAACAAATTTTTTAATATATATATATATATATATATATATATTAAAAATTTTATCATACAATACCATAAATTACCATATAATATTTTATAAATTATATAAACTGCTTTTAATTTGTTATCATATATTATCATGACTTTTTAAGAAAATTATATAATTACAGTAGAGCGTCGTTTATCCGAATCAATTGGGGACTGGGGTTGTTCGGATAACTCATTTTTCGGATAACCGATTATGCACGAAAAAATATATTAACCTATCCCGTGTTGAAATTTTTCTCCGTTGCGTGTCGCTTCGTGTTGAATTTTCGTCGATGTTAAGCCTAATGTAAAATTTTTAAAATAATAATCGTGGCTATTGTATCATTAAAAATGATTTTTTTATTTTTTACAAACGAAATAAATATATTGAAAAATATAAAAACAAAAAAAAATTATACTTTAGAAGTTGATCTAGTATCAAAAACGTTCGATTCAGCATAACACAATCCTCAGAAAAACACCATACTAAAGTGACAGTGCTGCCAGCTAAAGCACATACACAATAAAAAATATTGGAGTAGCCGAATATATAGCCAAAGATTGCAGCGCCACAGCACTAGCGAAAATTTAAATTTACCGACTGAAATTCTTTCGAATAACCGACGTTTCGGATAAACGACGCTCTACTGTACCTTTACTTTTCAATCATAATATTGCCATAAAATACTATTAATTTACACCATACATTACCATAAAACACTATAAGTCACAATTTTTAACCGCATTTTAACATTAATTACCGTTGTTTTTATACAACACTTTATCATAAATTACCATTGAGTTTATACCGCACATTACCATAAATTACCATTGATTTTTTCACTATATTATATAATAAATTACCGTTGATCTTTGTAACATTTTAGCATAAATTACCATTGATTTTATACTACAATTTACCATAAGTTACCGCACGATTTTTTTTAAATTGCATAAATTACCATGTAAATTTTTAGAAAATTACTTGAAAATTCTGGCCTAGTCAATTTCCTTAATTACTTCCAAAAATTACGAACTTTCAGAGAAATTTGCATATTCAAGAGTCACTTCTAAAAAACGCACACGATTGTAATTTATTATTCAAAAAAATTTTTATTCATTACCTTTAAATCTAATATTTAAAAAAAAATTAATTATAATGAATGAAAGTCATTTAAAAAGTGTGTTACGATGATCAAGTTACTGACCTCATTACTTATGTAAACCGCAAACAAGACGTAACATCAGAGACACTTCGACCTTACTCTGTACGAAAATAAAAACTGTTACGGAACCTACTTAATTATATTATTTAACAATTTCGAGAACGCGTCACTTGGGTAAACTACTTTAAATCCAAACTTAATTAAGTTCTTATTAATGGGCATTGTTGTACAAAGAAATTAATGCCCAGTATATTTCTTTGTGCATTTTTGACAGGTCCTCTATGAAATTTGTTATCAATTAATTTAATGTAATTTAACGTAACGTTGTTAGGTGTTAGAAGGGATAGAATAATAGAAATTGTCGTAGAAACGGGTATAAATGGTCGTGGCATAGAGTGTAGAAGCATTACATCCGTAGAAGTAGAAACAGGTAAGTTAGTATAAGAAACGGATAAGTGCTGCTGCCCTTCTTCTTTTGTCTTCTGCTTCTGCTCTTCTTCTTCTTCTTTTGTATTCTGCTCTTCTTCTTCTTCTTTTGTATTCTGCTCTTCTTCTTCTTTTTTTGTCTTCTGCTCTTCTTCTTCTTTTGTCTTCTCCTTCTGCTCTCCTTTTTTGTTTCTGCTACTGCTCTTCTCCTGCTACTCTTCTTTCAGTAATGCAAATTAACAGAAAATAATTCAGTAGAAACAGCAGATAGGAAACGTGAGTAATTTTCACTACCCCTAAAGAAAAAGAGACCCTTACCGAATACTAATAGTGCAGGCACAAAAAGTTCTATATAAACGTAATTTATATAACCTGTTTTTTCATTTGGGACCCCAAAAAAACAGCATAGCGAATTGTTCTAACACGTTTTTCCTCAAAGAAAAAATTTGCAGGATGACTGCATCGCACGTGGCATCCGGAAATAATTTTTAACGCTTACGTTTAACATAAATAATAATGAATGCTTGTGGGGTATTCTCGATTAGTGTGGTGCCATTACTCCAGCATAATACTGCAAAGGATTTTAATTAAGATTTGACAAGAGAACGCGTGAAAAAGTGTTATTCCTCCGCATTTCATTATAAAGCTATACCTTCCTACCTCTTCTAGTAGTAACTATACTCATAGAAATAGTAGAAACTTTTACAGATACCACACTTCAGCAGCTCTTATAATTTACTGCCCTGACGTAATGACACGCAATCAAACTGGACAGAAGAAAAAACAAGGAGCGACCGATAAATCAGACGTGCTCGCTGGCTCGAGAAATCGAATTTTTATTAAAATTCGGCGTAACTTCGGGGCATTGAATCGTTAGGAACCGATGACTGGAAGATAATCGTTAATGGCGAAAATAGTATAAATTTGTCCATGTCGTTAGAAGGGGAAGGGAATTTTCTACATTTATCACCAGGCGCTTGATTAATTTGGCTGCGAGAATTTGTTTATGGGCGAATTGTACATTCTTTCATCTAGAGAACGACATCGGTGTTGATGACCTCTCTTGATATTAAGATATTACGTCACTACATCCATTTTATCGCATCGGTAAACATTCTATTTAGGATTTCCTTGCTTATAAATTAGGAATTTCGCACGATTCCCAACGGAATCATCTCCTCCCCATAACCAAAAGAAGTGTCGTCTTCTTTATCTTGTCTGTGGAAATCTTTTATCATTAATTCTTATCGTGAGAAGTAATACCCCCTTTGTGGCGCGTTATAGTTTCGGGTGCAGTGTTGACTTCAGGCATTTTTTTTTCTGGAGAGGAAATGGTTTCGTATAAAAGATTGGTTTGGGCCCTCCGTTTGGAAGAGAGCCTAAAAAATTGCCTTTTTTGCTCATAAGATAACGCGTCACTGCCCTTCCTCTCGAAGGATCTTGCCTATTTTGATAGTTATGCATCCTTTATAACGTGAATTTGTAGTGTTGAAACGTTTGCTGACAGATAGATAGTGCAATATGCCACTTTAAACGAGTTATGCAGTTTTCTTTCGACTCGATTTGTATATTTTAAAGTGCGAATCATTGGAGTAATGTTATGTTAACAACCACTGCTATTCTTAGACGAGTTGTGCAAGAGATGAACCTATAGAATAAGTTTCTCCTCTTACAGATTTTACCAATTAAAATGCCCGAAAAATATGAGAAATTTTAGCACGGAACAATAATTATTATACCCAATTCCTTACAAATAATGGTATTGTCGGAATCCGCGATGTTAATGGAACGAATTCTCTTTATTATTGCCGACATTCTTTTCCAACCCGACACTAATTAGTGTCAAGTTTAGCAATTACATTTGTTTTCTTCTTCTAATAAACAAGGCAAACAATTTGATAAACAAAGTAAACATCACATAAATAATATCCAAGAAAACCTGTTGGCATCATTCTACAAAAGATATCGATCGATAGAGGATATCTTTTTTCATAACTGTATGCCTTGAGGAGTATTCGAATGACCTTTCTAAAAATAAAACTAGGTTAAATGTGCCTTTAAAAACTTTAAGACAGTAACATTTTTACGATCGAAGAATTTTTTGAAGATTATGACGAAGTGAATTCGAATTGTGTCAAAATTTTTATGGATTGTCTTTAATTCCTTAATCCCCTTACCACCTAAGTTATAGATTATTGTGTTTTGTCATCCTTTCTACGTCATTCTCTCTCGCTCTTCCCTCTTCTTCCAAAAGATTAAGCAATGCCCTTTTTCTTGCTCTTCTAAATCTTCTCCTCTCGCTCTTCCCTCTTCTTCCAAAAGATTGAGCAATGCCCTTTTTCTTGCTCTTCTAAATCTTCTCCTCTCGCTCTTCCCTCTTCTTCCAAAAGATTGAGCAATGCCTTTTTTCTTGCTCTTCTAAATCTTCTCCTCTCGCTCTTCCCTCTTCTTCCAAAAGATTGAGCAATGCCTTTTTTCTTGCTCTTCTAAATCTTCTCCTCTCGCTCTTCCCTCTTCTTCCAAAAGATTGAGCAATGCCTTTTTTCTTGCTCTTCTAAATCTTCTCCTCTCGCTCTTCCCTCTTCTTCCAAAAGATTGAGCAATGCCTTTTTTCTTGCTCTTCTAAATCTTCTCCTCTCGCTCTTTCCTCTTCTTCCAAAAGATTAAGCAATGCCCTTTTTCTTACTCTTCTAAATCTTCTCCTCCCGCTCTTCCCTCTTCTTACAACAGGTTGATCAATGCCTGTTTTTCTTGTGCTTCATGTCTTCTTCATGGTATAGAACAAGAAGTGGAAGAAAAGTAAGAAGAAACAGCTCTTTACTTATAAAAGAGAACAATAATTAGGGTAGAATAGGATATTAGCGCCATCCACTTGGTAATACCTGCACCCACAGTAAATACTTTACTATGTGCATCAGAAATCTGGTAACATTGCCAGTGCATAACGGTTGATCAATGATAATATTGACATACATAACTATTATGAGCAAAAAATGAGGAATGTGGTAACAATTACGTGTGCAGTGGATGAGGATGCGGTAATAATTATGTGAGCAAAGGATGAGGGATGTGGTAACAACGTGAATGGAGGATCAGAGATGTGATAACAACAAGGTGAGCAGAGGATGAGAAGTATTGTAACAACTATGTGAACAGGGGATAAGAGATGTGGTAAGAACAAGTGAATGGAGAATGAGAAATGTGGTAACAGGAGAATAAGATATTGTGGTAATAACTATGTATATAGATGATGAGATGTAGTAACAACTATGTGAAGGGGAGGAATGAAGTAACTATGTAAGGGGCGGATGAGAGATACGTGATAACCGCTATTAGTTGAGGAGAGAAGAAATAGGAACATATGAAGAAGGTGAAAGGAAAAGAATGGAGTGAAAAGGAAGTGGACAACAAAGGGGTAGAAGCATTTGATAAAAATACAGATTCCCGTATATAGGAATAGCTAAAGTAAAAAAGTAAATAATAAAATAAAACTTTAAATTTCTAAATAAAATAAATTTTGAGTCGTTATATTATCTTTAAAGCATTTAAAATATTCGTAAACATGCCCTCCTCGAGGCATTGCACCACTTAATTAAGATTTTGTAACGTTCCTCTTGGCAATAAATTACATAGCAAACTCGCAAACTCATTCGAATTTTGTGTATTTCCAGTTAAAATATTTTAAATTTAATAGTAATTTAGAAAACAAAATATTTATAATAATAAAGTTAAATGTTTTTAGAGTTAATTCTAAAAAAAAAAATCCAATAAGAAACAATTCGTTTGGAACAAATGGGAACACTTTGAAAAGAAACATCCTTTCATCAAACTGTGTTATTCATTCTTTTCTTCCCTTTCATCGGCGTACGTTCTGTCGACTTGGACGAATTTTTCTTCTATTAAAGAAACTAAATTGCTTCCTACAAAGCCTTAAATTCAGCATTCGATCGATACACTTAAGTTCGTATCGCTCCTTATTCTCTACTAATGAAGTGGAACTGTTAGTTTCCTTATCGTCCATTGGGGATCAACTAAAATGGACTGCAATTTCACTTCTATTGATCCGATACCGTCTTCAGAATTTTTATTTTTTCTTCTTTTTTTACGAAATTAACACATCATTTTCTCTAAAACAGGGGGTTAGCATACCATTCTGTCGATGTTTCTCCTGTTATTTTAGGGAAGAATTATAACGTAGGGGTGCGAATATATTTAAAAATAACGATTCAAACAAGAACTTACCTTAATATCCGTAAGTGTGGAGGGAAATTGTAAAGAATGTTGGAGAGGTAAAAACGAATTTGTACACTTGTTTAGACTATATTAGATATAGGGCAAGCGAACAATCTTCACTCTAGTTGGTTGGATTTGTTCCAGAAGTTACGTATAGATATAGATAAATTTGTCAATATTTTCCTTTCACGTTTTAAATTAGAAATTTGTATGCTGTGGAGAAACAAGGCATACAATTATGTAAGTACCTCCACTATTGTTTTTATTGTTTACAATTTATTGTACGGCAGATTCCGAGGGGAGAAGCGAGAGTACTCCCTTTTATAGTCAACCCAACAATTCTTTGAAGTTAAGAAATATATTTATATGCATGCAGTAAATACTTAGAACTATTTACATTTAAGAAACAGAACAAGTGTACACATATAGATGCGACCTGGTTTAAGACACATTGGGGTGACATCGGTCCTCATCTTTTTTTTTCTTCTTCTTCTTCCTTCCCTCCTCTCTCCTTTTCTGGGTCTCTTATCTAACTTCACTTGTTTTGACGGACGATAATGATAAATTTAACCTCCCGAAAACAATTATGTACGGTGTACAATTGTACAGTTGTTAGTGTGGTGTGTATAATTGGGTGACGATTCGTGTAAATATGATTTTTTACATTTTTCTTTATAAATCTCTGGCTTTTGTACGGATTTTTCTGTATGAATTTCTGTATTCTTCTGTATGAATTTCTGGATTTTCTACTGGACTTTTTTCCGGATTTTCGTAGATGAATTATGCACAGTACATGAACAAGTAAGTAATTGTACATAAACACAAAAGAACATGTGGTAAATATATCAATAGAGAGATAATTGACGATTTAAAAAATACATTTTTAAGAGTTACACATGAACACGTGTTCAAGAAATCAATAGAAAGACAATGTTTTATTGCTTCTTACCTATCTGAAGCTCTTATCAATTCTAATTTCTTTTAATAAAGGGATTTACATAGGCAGATAAACAATTAAACACGTGTTAAAGACATCAACAGAGTGACAAATGACATGATTTTTTTAACATGCCTTTACTCAATTAACTTATTTTATTTGAAGATAAACTAGATTTTATTAGGAAAAATTCTCAATTATATATAATTTATGAACATGACATTGATGTAAATAATTTTCTTTCTTTTCTCCTCCTTCATAAAGTTCTTCCAAGCTTCTTACGCGGCTTAACTTGTTGGAAGATATCAATAAAGAAGACAAGTGAAGCGAACACAATTCTTAGGGATTTTTTTTAATATAAGGTTCCGACTTCATTCCCGACTAATTTACATAATAAAAAATAAAAAAAAAATCGATTTTTATTCGAAAAAATCGCGAATTTCTCTTCAGTTTCCTGTAATAGAATGTCATCATCGACGTTCGGATGCAGGTCGTTTAAGCTGTTATAACTAAAGATGTACCGACAATAATCAATGAAAAATAAGATGTACGCTCGGATTATTTTCATGAAATTAATTATCCTTACATCGGAAGGTTTTTTAGAACGTTTTTTTCCCTTAAAAAAACTGAATTTTTCACTTCATAATTCATAAATTCTCTTGTAACTGATACGCGTTGATGGCGATTAATTAATCTGCACCGCTTAATAAAAATAACAGGATATATATGTTTTTTAAAGAAAATAAACAAATTTAAGAGGAACCACGGCAAATGGTTTACGTCAGCGATTAATTATTATTCATATATCAGTCATAATTAGTTACGTCAACGGTTGCCAACTCTTTAAATAAATCAAAGTTAAGTCCTTGATCCTTTAAAACATCATAATCATCAAATTTCGCTCTTAAATTCGATTAAAAATCCATTTGGGATTTTTAGAAAAAATGCAATTTTTCTCCTTAACTCCCAGTTATTTATCTAAAAAATTTGTTAGGAGTGTCTCTAATGGTCCATTATGTAAATAGCAGGAGAGCAATCACATTCATTTCTTACGTTTAATGAATTAATTATTATTTAAATGACAAGCTTAATTCGTTTACGAAACACTACCAAAATGGAAGATCTACACATAAATAAGCATTGATCCTATACAAAAGAAGGAAGATCCTACAACGTGGATCAGCATTTATTCTATAGCAGAACTGGAACATCTTTTATACAATTATTCATTGATCCTTTATTTAAAAAAAAGGAGAATCCTTTACATATATCAGCATTTGGTCTTTTAGAAGTGGAAGATCCTACACACAAGCATTTGGCCTTTTTTTTTTTTTTACAAAGTTTGGAAATTTCCTTACATAAAAGCATTACTCCTCAACATCAGAATGAAAACTTCGCTTTTAAATTCGATTATGAATTCATATAAAAAAAGTGCGACTTTCTGGAAATGTCTGTGACAATATTTAAATTGAAATTCCTCTTACATCAGAGATCTTTATCTAACAAGAAAAATTCTACACTCTCCACAAATAATGGTCCATTCTGTAAATAGAAGAAGAGTGGTCACATTATGTTTAAAGGATGAACATTAACAACTATCTTCTCCTTTCAAAAACACTTTTTTTTCTTTTCTTTTTAATTTAATAATGTCTATAAAATTATTTTATAGTTCTTACTGGTAAATATTGTTTTTATTGTTTAATTAAGCGAAATTTTTATGTATTATTTGAAATAATTTAAATAATGAGATTAAAATAATATTTTCTAACAAATTTGGTTAATTTTCTGCCATTTTAATTAAATGTATTAATTGATTAAGAATTTTTTAATTTATATAAAATAATAGGAGGGTCTTTCCACTTTCTCTAAAGGATCCGTGCTGATTATGTAAAGGACCTTCCAAAAGCATGGACCTTCTAAAGCATGCTGAACCTTCTAAAGGATCCATGCTGATTAAGTAAAGGGCCCTCCAATTCTTCTAAAGGATCCGTGCTGATTATGTAAAGGACCTTCCAATTCTTCTAAAGGATCCATGCTGATTATGTAAAGGACCTTCCAATTCTTCTAAAAGATCCATGCTGATTAAGGGCCCTCCAATTCCTCTAAAGAATCCATGCTGATTATGTAAAAATCTTGAATTTCTCCTAAAGGAACAACACTTATTTATGTAAAGGATCCTGAACTTTTTGTAAAGGACCTTCACTTCAAATTATTTTATTAATTTAAACAGTCAAAAACTTCATATTTTAATTTTTTGAAGCAAAAAGAAATAATCTTAGTAGAATAATTAGAAAAAATAGTTTCTGTAGTATTTAATTATATAACTATTTAATTAAGGAGATAACTAAGGGGTATTTGACTATATTTTTACAATAAATCATTGAGTTTTCAATTTTAATCAAGCATTTTATTTAAGATAATTGCAGAAAAACATTATATAATTAATTAAATCAGCTTTTAAGTAATTTAAAGTATTATTTCTAACAAATATTTAATTAAAGAATTTTTAATTAATGATTTTTAAGCTATTTTCTTTCACAATTTTCATTAGTTCACAATATTTTTATGGTAATAATCAACAAATTCTTTAATTGAATAATTAATTAAAAATAATCCAAAACCTTCTAATTAAAAAAATAATATGAATAAATGAATTTTTCACTTTTTTTTTTATTTACTAGTTATTTTTTTGCACCATCTAAAAAATTTTAATTAATTTTCTTTAATAATTGCTTAGCTAGAGATTTTTCAGCCGATTTTCTTCCAATAATTGCTTGACTAGGGATTTTTCAAGTGCTTTTCTTCCAATAATTGCTTAACTAAAGCTTTTCCAGCTGATTTTCTTCCAATAATTGCTTAACTAAAGCTTTTCCAGCTGATTTTCTTCCAATAGTTGCTTAACTAAAGCTTTTCCAGCTGATTTTCTTCCAATAGTTGCTTAACTAAAGCTTTTCCAGCTGATTTTCTTCCAATAGTTGCTTAACTAAAGCTTTTCCAGCTGATTTTCTTCCAATAATTGCTTAACGAAGAGTTTTTCAGCTAAGCAACCAAGAATTTTTTAACAATTTCTTCATTAAAAAGCATTCATTTAAGTCAAAAAACTCCTTAATTAAATAATTATAAGAAAAAACAAAAGCTATTAAAGTACTTATTCATATAATTACTTAATTAATTAAGATGTCTACCATTTTTCAAACATTTCTGTAAAAAATATAACTGAATTTTAAACAAATTTTAATAAAAAAATTTACATTACACCATTAAATTTTACTGTTTTAAACATTCTCCTAATTACCAGAGAGCCGAATTATGTAAAAAAAAAAAATCCACAAAATTATTCATAACTTTACATTAAAATTCATTAATTTAACAAGATTTAAAAAAATATATATACCAAAAAATCAAATATAGCTAAAATCTCCTAAAGGTATGAGTTGTTGAAAGTAGATTTTGACAAGTTCTATATATAGTAACATCTAGATTCATGATATTGATTAAAATTCCTCTTAACGCCAACTGTAAACGTGGAACTGACGTCTAAAAGAGAAAAAGAACGAAGAAGGAATATCATAATTCATGTAAAAACTCTAAATCACTTGACTACGTTCAACTTTGACAGGACCACATTTGGACATTTTTAAAAGTTAATGAGTCGGAAAGAGAATTTTTCCATCCACACGACTTCTTAAAACTTTATAAAAGAAATAATTCTTACATAAAATTTATATTTTCGCACAATTTTAATTCATTTTTAAAACTAATTATCATTTGAAAAAAACATTACATTAATTTCGAGAATATTTAGAATAAATATCACATTTAATAACTTAATTTTTGAGTGTATAAAAATTAAATTTATGATGTACAATAACTATTTTCCTAGCACGTAAAAGTCTGTATCCGCATCAGTGACGAGGATGCAGATCTTTAGATACTAGGATAGAATGGAGCACAATTTCCGAATATTTAAAGATTTGAATCGGCAACGTAGATGCAGATATTCGGATACTAGAACGGAACACAGTAGAACTTGTAAACGTTTAAAGATCCACGACTGCAATGGAGATCTTTAGAAGTTAGGATGGAATGGAGATCTGCATCTGTGATGCGGATGTTGATCTTCAAATATTTGGAAGTTGCGCTCCATTCTATTTTGTGTCAAGAAATGAGTTTTGTATTAAATAAATATCAAATAAAGAATTAAAAGATAAAGAATTCGAGCTATAATTTTATTGGCAAGATCAGTATTCGTAAAGACGCTTTCTCAGGAAAACAGTAATCTGGAAGACGATCGTATTTAAATTTTTTGATTTTGTCCACGTCTTTGGCATCCAAACGTGCAATTTTATGTTCTGAAACAGAAAATTTAAGGATGACAATGTTAAAATTTATATATTATCCAATTATAAAGACATTTGATGGTTAATAAAACAAGTGCACAATAATAGTTTTAATAATTTTTATAGAGGATTACTTGAGTTTTTTTGTTCATGACATTTTCTGTTTTGTGTTTTACTTCAAGCTTATTTTGCAATTAAATAAACCAAATTCTCCTCCAATACTTACTTCATTTACATTCCACTTCATAACCTAGTTTATATTCAAATTCTAGAAACATATTCTGAGAAATATAGTTATATCTAATTAAATTGAAAGCGAATACGGATAAAATGCAATTTTGATCATCAGAATAACATTAACTGATAACAAAATGGTAATCTTACAAAAATTACAAAATTAACATTGTAGTGGTAGTTCTGTTGGTGTGTTCTTAACGTATATAATGGAGAAAATAATTGGATGAACAAACTTCATTTTCACTGCCGCAACTTTATTAAAACAAAAGAAATACCTTAATGCAGCTAGAATATGTTCTTGCAATTTGAATGGTGGCAAACAATTTATAAAACTACATCTGGTCTCCAAACTTTCTCTCTCCCACAGCTTTTTCCACAAACTCCCTCTTCCCAGGTAGAAAGGGGAGTTGACAAGATGCAAGTGTGCAGTCACCATGCCATCATTTTTGTAACTTCTGTTTCTTTATTTTCATACTATAATTAACTGAATTTAGAGAAAATTATATAAAGCAATAGTCTTTTATCCAAATCTAATTGTAGTTAAAAATGATTTCAATAGCATTTTCCCATTATTTCTAATGAGTAAAATTTTAGTTTGTTGTTGGTACCTCCAACCAATTTCCCAAATAACACTAAAAGTATTTATCTAACTCTCAATCCATGTTTTTAGCAAAGTATTAAACACTATAAACCCCAATTGCCTTAAGAAATAGTTAAATCAGTCATTAAAGTATACATTTGTAATGCAACAAATCACATTTTTAGTATTCTTACAGAATGTTCATTAACATGTAGTGTAAAGGTGGTTAGTGCCTTCCTGCAAAATAGGAATTAGTGTCCGTCTGCAGTGGTAGATTATGCTATAGAAGTAAACACACAAATATTAGCATCTTCAATAAGTTTGTTACCATTTGTTTAATAATTTTTAATACAGTAGTCTGTATAGTCTGTCACTCGCCAGTCCAACATGTCCTGTAATCCATCATTCCACATATAGCAAATGAAATTTTCATCTCCACTTAACATATATGACAGAGAGAGACTGATGTAAGAATACACTGACGGTCACTAGTTGTTCGTTGCAAGTGTGAGCGTGATTAATACAATAAACTAACCTGTAAATCAAATTTATTTTTTACCATACAGTATGTATAATATATACAAAAATCTAGTAATCTGCAAATTGCCATAATCCAACACCTGCCAGTTCAATATATGTCAGCTTATAGAGACTCCTCTGTATTATTTTTGGTGATAATCAGACAATGGAAAATTGTTATTTAATCAGTTACAATGTATAAACATTTTTCAATTGTTCATCTTAAATTTCAATTGTAAATAAGTTATCATCGCTGTTTAATGAATGTAAGTGTTTATTTAAAATGGTTTTATTTAGAAAAACGTTTTCTTTCCGACACTTTTCTTCATTTATTTTACCTTAGAGAACATTCAAGAATCATATAAGGATAGTTAATTACCTCCGTTTATATAACCAATTATAATTATTGTGTTGATTCCTCTCCTCCCATAAACTTGTGTTCATCTACTTTGTTCTTACGATTAACACAATAAGGAAGTAAACTAAAGTCAATAAGTATGTCAATATTTATAATTAAAGTAATGAAATTACAAAAATCAAGTACAGCAGACTACTGTACAACACAAGGGGATCATTATACAAGACATTCATTACCAGATGATTTTTTAAAAGTTTAAACTTGTTGCGTTACATGTATTTACATTATAGGGGAGCATGTTATAGAAGAGATCACTGTACTGTAAATTAACAAACTGAAGTGAATCTTAGTACTTGTCAAGTATATTTATAAACACATTCAAAACAAACTCAAAAGTACCTTAACTAAATATTGATTTGGCCCACCAGTGGCCAAGCGGTCTTCATTCCCTGGACACTGGGAGTTCAGTTGTGTGTTCATGCCTTGCTCAAACAGGCAACCCGGAAAACATGGAGTTTTCCGGGTTTTCTCCATGTCTGTAATGCCTAAATAGGGGCCAGTTTCCCTTAAAAGACTTCCTGGAAGGCATCCCTCCTAGGCAGATCATCCAAGTGTTGCATTGCCATAACTAAACAAACAAACAAGTATTGATTTGACCTTTCCTTCCTCCATGTAAATATTCTTAAATTTTCATTTTGCATTGAGCTTCATTTGCACCCAATGCAACATTTCATATACTTTAGAAAGTGAATATTTATGGATCTTTAGTACTTGTCTATATATTCTGCATTCAATTTTCAATCTGAATTGCATGATTCTGATGTATAGCATTATTTCTAAATCACTGTGTATATGATATACACTGATACACAGATAATAGATAAACTCAAAATACAACTGTAAGAAAAGAATAAGTACTTCTGTTAAAAAATAAATAATAATAATGGGATCAATATACAGGATCTCCTCAAAATTCACTAGTTTTAAACTGTTCTGTAAAATCCATTTGTTCAGATATGTAAATGTGTTGGAGAATGTTAGTCAATACTAAAAGTTTCATATGTATACACTTAAAAGGACTTCTCCTTTGGCACAGTCTAGATTGCTGGGGCCCAATTTCTTGTTCCATCCAATCATCTGACATTGTCTCCTTGAACTTTTTTCTTTGTGGACATCACGTATTTCCTACAAAAGTGCCAGACACTAAGCTCCACATAAAAGAATCATGGATGCCATTAACAGAATGACTCCTAACATGCTAGCTCAGATATGGGCTAAAATGAAGTACAGATCAGTTATCATACTTGCCACATCAGGAGCATATGTACAAATGTACTGACTTAATGTAATAACTAACTTTTTCAGATGCACTTTCTATCATCATTGTCTACAGTGTTATACTCATGTTTCTTTTTCCAAAATAAATCCACAAAATTAGGAATGTTTGAGGAGAACACCCTAGTTTTGTGGATTATTTATATTATGTAGATGCCATTATATGTTATCTTAAGCTTATAAATTATCTTCCAATTTCTATCACTAGTTTCAGATCGTCTATCAAAATATTGGATGTGCATAATATCTGGCAAAACTATAGAAAGAATGATAGCACTATTAGCAAAAAATTATAATATCCAAGTAATGATTAAAAGATTACCCTCAATCATACAGATAGAACAGACAAAGAGACAGTGGAAAAAGTTAAAAAGCCAGAAATCCAGGATTGGATTAAGCAAAGTAACAAATTTTTCTACATGGATCCACTTACAAATCTGTGAATCTCCGGGTCAAAGAGCATTTCGAATCCATTATCCAATACCTCACAAATGGCACAATTTAAATGCAATGGGCACTATAGAAAAAAGTGGAAGTATGTAGGAAACAACCTACAGTACTTAGAAGCTGGTATGACATTAAGAACATAAGAATTCTAGAGCAATGTTTCATTTACATATTAAAAAAGCATCTAATCATAATTAAGAAACTCAATAAAACTGGACACCAGGGATGGAGGGGAAGTTGTTTTAAGTAATTGATAATTTTCCCCAGCCTTCAGTGAATACTGAATGTACGGAGCTTGTTTAATACAAAGTAAAGTAAATAATAAATGAAACCAAAACATATTTTAAATATTTCTCTGATAATATGATGCAGAAGTAACTGAGACAACAGAAAGAAAAATTTTTTGAAAGATTGATAGAGCAATGAAACAAGTATATTAATGCATAATATCCTCTTTAAGCCGAACTCTACATGCCTGCAAGGTATGTATAGTTCAACCATACAATCAAATATCTTTATTTTTTCTCTTTTCAGTAAGACACGACATATGTATTTCGAACTGATGTGTAATTAACAATCCCTCTTTGGTATTAAGTGTATTTTTCCTCAAATTATACTAATGTTAAGTGATGTTGGACAATAACATTATAGAACATTACAATTTTACAGGTCTTGGCTTCAATTCATCTAAAATCACAGAATTATTAGCAGTATTATACAATCCACAACAATTAAAACATCTTAATAGGCAAACAATGTAATGAAAACAGACAAGTACAAAATTACAACATTTAATTAATTAAGCAAAGTCATTCCATTGATAATCAAAATTTATCATTAAAAAAGTAAGCAGAACACTTCGTAAATGGAAACACTCTGGACTTTGCTGGTTAAATCAGCAAATTTGTCTCAAATACACTGCACATGACATTTTTCCACAATTTTTTTAAAAAACTGTGCAAATAATACAAGTAAATATAGTACTTTATATGATAGGTAGTGTGAAAATTCATTTATAGAATGTTATCTTCAGTTGACTAACTACAGTAACACAGACTGCTAAGTTAAACCAAAGACGATCAGGATCAGAACCTCCATGATAATATAAATCTTATATCTATTACACTAAAGGAATATATGTTTCTTTACCTGATTCTATCAATCTGTCTTCATTAGAAGAATCGAAGCAAGAATAATCAGGACCTTTGTGAAATCTGATGGCTTTCAATGTCTGAATTGCATTGCCTGTAAATAAAATCTTTCATCAAATATTAAAATCCAGTACTTAAAAATTACAAAATATAATTGCTTAGTCTGTCAGCATAAATATTCCTCAAAGAGACATGTAAATTTATGCTTTGGGGAAAAAAACTGGGGTTTGGAAATTAAACTTACCTCTAGTGTGGATAATTTTTTGAGTTAAACACTCATCTTTTGTTCCTTCTCATCTTTGTATTGCCAGTTTTTTGTATTCTAAGGTAAGTTTGTGAGTATACCCTTAATCACGCAAGAGAAAAAGAATCAAAATATGCTTCAAGAGAGAAAAGGATTAGGAAAAACAAAGAAAAAAGTGGATAATTGTATATATGTACTGTACCTGACCATAAATTACGCAACCTATCATAAAATTATCCTCCGACATTGTAGAAATATTCCTCCATCACATTTTTGGTTTTTGCTCTCTTCTTTCCCAGGAAGCTTTTAAATTTTCAAAACTATTTCTGATTTTGGATAATTTGTCCATTGATTCTTGGAAAGATGAGTTTATGAAGTGGAACATTCTAAGGAAGAGTTGAAATCTATTTTGAGACAGCTTCCAGAAAAACTGGAGTGAAAATTTTTCAGCTACTGCTCCAATAATCACTAATAGAATGTTTTAAAATATATCCCATTTATACGCTTAATCCAAAACCTGATTATTTTTGTAATTGTTTGCCTCTAAAAATCAGTTATGTTTGCTACATTATTGTGAGGTAAGCAGGGGATCAAGGGTGAATCCTAATGACAACTTAATCTGCAAAAGATCTGAGATCCGATCTCTGCGTCAAAGGATGACTAACCTATGAGCGGTAAGAAAGATCTAGATCGTGAAATCAAGATTAATGTCAAGATTGACATCAGTTAGGATAATTATATGCATCCCAACTCGTGATTCTTACTACTATTTCAATTAGGAGGGCTCGTTTGAGTGGGGAGACACACGAATAAGTGACAGAAGTCCAGGAAACTAGAATCCAGTTTAGCAAAATTTTAATGAATAACAAAGAATACAAATGAACAAACTAAATAACATCTAGCTATGATTAAAACATGAATAATTAAACCTTAAACTAAATAGGTCCCTAAAGGTTGAGAGAGAGAGAGTTTACAAAAGTACTGATTATAATACCTCAATATTATTCTTGACTTGTAACCTTCCTGTCCTTTGGGCAGAAGTTCAATCTATATGGCACAAAATCAAAGATTAGAGGATACTAGAGGATGTGTTAGGCAGTATTGTGCAGAGTGTTTGGTGCGTATCCTCTATTTATATGAATTTTCTCCTCCAATTGAGATTTGAATATGTTGTCATCTGACAATGATCTAATTCTTACTAAACATGTAGTCATCGGATGACTGACTACTTTTTGAAGGAAGTAAACTTCCTTTCTTTCTCTCCCTTTTCATTTCTGTGGTTACTTTTTCTTCTAATTTATAAAATCTTTCCTCTAATATTTGTTTAATCTCATCAAATTTTTTCTCCAAAAGAGATATTTTCTTTGATATTTCATCGTCTCTTTTATTTGCAATTATCGATTCTTCCTTACGAAATCTTCTTTTCTTGTGAGGAGAAGCTAATTTTCTAAGTATTTTCCTACGAACACTTTTTTCACGTTGTTTTCTTCTGTCTGAAGCATTTTCTACGCTATTTTCATCATAACTATTTGAATATGAAATATTCTTATTGTCAACACTCAAGAAATAATCTGGTTTATTATTCTGAGTATTAACGTTCGTATCTTTCATAGGTAAAGTTTTTTCTTTCCCTTCATTTAGAGATTTCAACGAGGAAATTGGAATTAAATTATTTTTATCTGAATCTTTTCTAAGCTGAAATTCCTTTTTATCTTCTAATTGAACCACTGGAAGCTTGAGTTCGGTTTCTATCGTACAGTACATACGGAAGAAAAAAGATTAAAAAGCTATTATTAAATTAAAGAAGTTAAAAATTAATTATCTAAATTAAAGATGTTAAAAGTAGAAATTAAACGAATTTTTATCGTAATGTTGGCTAACCTTTAATGCCGTTAATAAATTCTCATATTAAACATCTGACTTACCATGGCATTGAATGGATGGTAGAAGAGATTTATCATTTCTCTGTTGTTTAATTTCTGGTTTGTGCGTGTTGNTGCATGCAACATTTCAGGAGGAACCCAGAGAAGTATTGCATTATGTTTGCCTTCAGCTCTGACACATAGTGCACACGCCCCTGATAAACACAATCTTTCAAATAACCCCAAAGCCAGAAATATATGTTTCGACTGAACAGCACCAAATTTTCCCTAATGGTTAAAATTTCCACTAATTTCTCCCCCGTAAATCTCTTCTCCGTGATCTGCATTGCATGTATACCGAGTTTCCTTCGATTCGTTTCAGTAGAGCCAGCTCTAATGCTCGTCAGTTTAATTGTAACCACCCTGTATACATAAACATATCTAAACAATGGTAAAATTGCAGTTCTGAATGTGGAGTTCGGATCCTGAAATTTTAGACTCTTTGAGCATAGACTACAACTCTGATATGGTACCAACCTCCTCATTCTATTCTATTCTATTCTATTCTTCTCCCTCTGTGTTCATATGGAGATCACAGCCTTAGTTTGCTTTTTCTCCAAAGATCGGCGCTACCTCCTTAAGTGAAGCGACCCGTCCGTGAAATATATTTTTCTAGTATTCGTATGTGCTTTTCTGGATGCATGGTGGCCTGTGGCCAATATATCGGTGACAACATCGGCACAACCTTTAAGTTCAGCTTTAACCCTTTCTCCAGTTCCTTACGTGCCTCTTAGTAATTTGAGCACCTTAACCAAAAGTGCTCAGGTGTTTCTGCTTCCCCACAAAAAGAACAATTGGGGGATGGGACTAGCCCTTGCGAAAACAGAAACATATTTAGAGGCACAGTTGCCGTCCAAAGCCTCACAAGCAAATTCTCTGTCCACCTTGGCGATGCATGATGGTACGGCCAGAAGTCAAATGGCCTGAGATATTCCCTTCCCTTATCCCAAAGGAGCTGAGCCCAGTTGTCCCTCAGCATGTTCCGTATCCCTTCCCACGCAATCCTGTGTACATCCCTTGGCAACAGGGAACCCCGCCAAGACCCTGTTAGACGTGCTCCCCTCGCTGCTATATCCGCTTCTTCATTGAGCACTATCCCAGTGTGACCCGGAGTCCACACCAACTCGATTGGCTTAGGGAAAGAAGAAACCGCCTCTCCTATGTCAATTATAATAGCCGCCGAGTTGAGCCCCACACTCGCTATCGCCTGTAATACCGACAGACTATCCGTACCCAGTACAGTTGGACGAGGATTTTGGAAACACAGGACCATCCCCCTCAAGACCCCCGAAAATCCCACTCTGCTCTGCCAATCCCCACGTCTCACTCCGCTTCCCTTCTGGGATAAAAATGCCCATCGAAGTCCGAGTAGGCGTCTTGGAACCTTCCGTCCCTATTAGCGACCATTCCTCCCAATTCCTGGTCACCCACTCTTCAAAATAACCTCCTCATTCAGACCTGTATTAAATTAATACCTAAATCCCAAACCATGCTGCGATCAGCTGTTAAGCTGTTATAACACCTGAAACAGTGTTGCCACTTCACATAATCCGAAATATCCGGTTCGAGAGTAGTAAATTTTCCCACATTTTCGCATTCCATCATGTACTTATTTAATTAAATAAAAAAAATGTATATAGAGATATTATTTTAAAAAATTAGAGATTTTCCTTTATTTCATAAAATATCTGCAAATATCCACAATATTCCCCACGGGAGACAAATTTCCTCCCAATTAAAATATTTTTCCGATATGCGGCAGCACGCGTAAAACGAATTCACTGTTGCCAGATATAAATTAGCAATATCGACAGTAATCTTAGAAGATATTTCCAAAGAATCACAAATTTTTTTTCATTTTTTAGTTAATATAGAAGTAATATAACAGTCGGTAGATCTATTGATCACTCAGTTGCATTTTGGAACAANCTTCGATTCGTTTCAGTAGAGCCAGCTCTAATGCTCGTCAGTTTAATTGTAACCACCCTGTATACATAAACATATCTAAACAATGGTAAAATTGCGGTTCTGAATGTGGAGTTTGGATCCTGAAATTTTTGACTCTGAGCATAGACTACAACTCTGATATGGTACCACCTCCTCATTCTATTCTATTCTTCTCCCTCCATGTTCATATGGAGATCACAGCCTTAGTTTGCTTTTTCTCCGAAGAGCGGCGCTACCTCCTTAGGTGAAGCAACCCGTCCGTGAAATATATTTTTCTAGTATTCGTATGTGCTTTTCTGGAGGCATGGTGGCCTGTGGCCAATATATCGGTGACAACGTCCGCACAATCTTTAAGTTCAGCTTTAACCCTTTCTCCAGTTCCTTATGTGCCTCTTCGTAATTTGGGCATCTTAACCAAAAGTGCTCAGGTGTTTCTGCTTCCCCGCAAAAAGAACAATTGGGGGATGGGACTAGCCCTTGCGAAAACAGAAACATATTTAGAGGCGCAGTTGCCGCCCGAAGCCTCACAAGCAAATTCTCCGTCCACCTTGACGATGCATGATGGTATAGCCAGAAGTCAAATGGCCTGAGATATTCCCTCCCCTTATCCCGAAGGAGCTGAGCCCAGTTGTCCCTCAGCGAGTTCCATATCCCTTCCCATGCGATCCTGTGTACATCCCTTGGCAACAGGGAACCCTGCCAAGACCCTGTTAGATGAAGAAGTGGATAGGGCAGCGAAAGGGCACCCCCTCGCTGCCCTATCCACTTCTTCATTGAGCACTATCCCAGCGTGACCCGGAGTCTACACGAACTCGATTGGCTTGGGGAAAGAAGAAACTGCCTCTCCTATGTCAATTATAATAGCCGCCGAGTTGAGCCCCACACTCACTATCGCCTGTAATACCGACCGACTATCCGTACCCAGTACAGTTGGACGAGGATTTTGGGAACACAGGGTCATCCCCCTTAAGACCCCCGCCCCGAAAATCCCACTCTGCTCTGCCAATCCCCACGTCTCACTCCGCTTCCCTTCCGGGATAAAAATGCCCATCGAAGTCCGAGTAGGCTTCTTCGACCAGTCCGTCCCTATTAGCGACCATCCCTCCCAATTCGTGGTCACCCACTCTTCAAAATAACCTCCTCATTCAGACCTGTATTAATAATTAATACCTAAATCCCAAACCATGCTGCGATCAGCTGTTAAGCTGTTATACCATCTGAAACAGTGTTGCCACTTCACATAATCAGAAATATCCGGTTTGAGAGTAGTAAATTTTCCCGCATTTTCGCATTCCATCATGTACTTATTTAATTAAATAAAAAAAATGTATATAGAGATATTATTTTAAAAAATTAGAGATTTTCCTTTATTTCATAAAATATCTGCAAATATCCACAATATTCCCCACGGGAGACAAATTTCCTCCCAATTAAAATATTTTTCCGATATGCGGCAGCACGCGTAAAACGAATTCACTGTTGCCAGATATAAATTAGCAATATCGACAGTAATCTTAGAAGATATTTCCAAAGAATCACAAATTTTTTTTCATTTTTTAGTTAATATAGAAGTAATATAACAGTCGGTAGATCTATTGATCACTCAGTTGCATTTTGGAACAAAATTAACATATCAGGTAGCCGATAGCTGGCGCTCAACTTTGCTCTTCAAAAAGTACAGATTATTTCTTGATATATTATTGCTAAAAACAATAGTTCCTATGGAACTTTGTTTCGAGATTATTTGTACGCGTATCCGTTCCTTTGTAATCAAATAAACGTTTTCGTTTTCTCCATCCGAATATAAGAAGAATTTTTTAACCATTTTCTGCGTTATAAATGCTTAAACGTGATACAGGGAAGCTACTGTGGTTTAATACATTTCCTGTGGAGCACTACGTCATATTACCGCGAAAAGCTTAAAAAAATCAAACACTAAGCTCCCGAAGAGCGGGCTACCTTCAGGCACGGGGCCCGTTGCCCGGCTATAACGGCGGCACCGAACAAAGCCAAACATTTCCATTGCTTCGAATGTAAAAGAGGACTATGTGCACACATTAGCAAATGCAGTGCCAGCAATTCAAAGGTTTGTTTGTTTAGTTATGGCAACGAAATACTTGGGCGATCTGCCTAGGGGATGCCTTCCGGGAGGTATTTTAAGGGAAACTGGCCCCTATTTAGGCGTTACAGACGTGGAGAAAACCCGGAAAATTCCACGTGACCAGCCCGTCCAAGCGAGGCGCAAACACACGACCGTAGGGTAAGAAGACCGCTTGGCCTTCGGGGGTTTCGCCTATCGCCTGACGTAGAAATCAATGGTTAATTCGAGGAGTTAAATTTAGTCGCATTATATCTTGATTTATTACCGTAATAACCGGTTGAATACAGTTTGGAACAATTTAAAAAGTAATAATTGTGTGTGACTTAGAAATAATTTAATGCCAAATCAAAGCAAAGACTTTATTACCGAGACAAATTCTTTATAATTACACTTATATCATTCAACAAACTATCTTAGAACGAAAATTTACAAATTCTCGAACAGAATCAGGACCAAAGTATTAAAGAAAATGTCTTCTTCTATGACTTTAATTGAATAAAATTATTCAGGTTTTTGAGTTCTCCAAATGCATTTTTATCATAAAACTTCACCATCCTGGAAGCGGCATTTATTCAAATTTATAATTTCCTATTAATAATTCCACTTGCGGTTTCGTAAAGCGTTTCGTTTAACGCGATTTTTTATCCGGAAACTTTCGTTCTTCGCAAAAAATTTTACAAAGACTTCTGTTTCGTCTATCAAAACTTCGTCTTTTCCTGTTTTTCACGTTCAACGAACTTTCGTTGAATTTACACGTCACAAACTATGAACACGATTTGAAAAAATTAAATACCAGTAAAAACACAATTCGGGAGAGTCCAGGTTCCAGGGATGACAGAAATTGGGAGTCAAATTTGAGCACAGACACAAGCCGGAAGAGTCCAAATTCCAATATAGACACGATTCNACGGAATTTATATAAAACGGAAAAATCAACAGTGTTATAGGGGGGTCGACTTGTATTTACAGATATATCCATGATGGAACTGGATATATGAAATTTCTGTAAATTTGAAAAGTATTGTTTCGTAACACACAGATTTTGAACTGACATTCAAAAGCACAAAATGTCTATTGACAGAAAGAACTGTCAATTCTAACTAAAACATTAAAAAAAATTTCTGATAGTAATCTATGGAGAATATTCTTTATTCAAAATTGTTCAACAACTTTTACATTTAAACTTTATAATTTGTTAAAATTTCTCTTTCAGAGGTATACAAAACTTAGTTAATTTTATTGTTTCGTCTAACTATATTAAATGCATGTGACAATTTCAAAGAGTATTCTGACTTATCTTAATTATAAATTTTATCCTTTCTCGAACTTTTTATGAATAATATCTGTAATAAAGTATAAATTTTCTGTGCACGTAAATTTAAAATGATCTATTGTGTACGATTTGGTTCAGAGGTGCATAAAGATCAAGTTTGAAGTTAAATGTTCAAAAAAAATAATCAGCTGTATTTTCATTTTATACTCACTCCATATTACAACTAAAAAAATAATCTATTTCGTCATGATTCGTTCTGACGACCACAAAATATAATCTATACTTCGGTGGGTTGACCAATCAGCGTTTTGTGCCATCTGGATACTTAGTCGCACGTATTGTTTTCTCCTATGGGTATTAACTGCGATTATGCGCCATCTGATGACAGCCATAGTAACTACTTTAAAACACTTTTTTTTGTTTGTTTCATAATCTTTATCGATGTTTAAGACATTAAATTTACATTAATTTAAAGTATTAATTAATAAAATATGCAAGTATTATTACACATGATACAAATGGAATGTATCAGTAGTCCTTTCATTAACTTTATAGCTTGAACATACAACTAGATGAATAACTAATGGCATTATTATAAGAAATTAATGAGTTCAAACAGTATAGAAAAACCATTGGTTTCAGTTTTAGGGAGTAAACCAAAGGTAAGAGGGTGTAAATGAAACGATATCATTTACTTATATAGCTGTCAAGGAGAGTGAGGGATAAAAAACTTGCAGAAAATGGGATGTCGTTAGTGGCACTCAGAGGGAGGTCAAGGGGTCCTGGCACCCTCCAAAGAAAAAGGAAGAAAACTCTAGAAAAATTTTCAAAAATATTTTCGTAAGTAAAATTCGGGTTTTAATTTATAGTGTCGTGTCTTTTAACTACTTACAGGCTGTCCATGTCCACTTTTTTCTTCAAACTTTTACTCCCCCTCTTCTGTCCCAGTTTGTTTAGGTTTTAGTAACTTCTTCCCTCTTCGACCCCCTTAGAACCTTTTTATCACTGTATGAATTATAGAAACCATAAGTAGAAACGAAACATTAGAAGAATTCTTAGATATAATAAAATGCTCTGTTGTATTATACTGTATTGCATATTTCCTATATGACAACATAATTGTGAAATCCACCATAGCTTATCCTCTGATGCATTTAAACAAGTTTGGTTTGGTTTATTTTTTTAACGGCAACGCGACACGTGAACGATCTGCGGAAGATTTTCTATGGAAAACTGACCCCTATTTAGTTGTTAAAGATGAAATATTTAGATGGGATTTAGTTTTGAAATTGATTCAAGACCAATGCTATCCAGACAATATTCTCTGAAAAACTCTTCAATTGACTTAAATTTTTCTTTCTTCTGCAACTGTATTATGTATGTGTTTATTCAATGTAATTCCAATGAATCCTTATTTTTTTATGTGGAATATTATTGTAAATCTATTTTCTCTGAATGCTTCTTAATCATAGAAGTTCAGAAGCTCAAAAGGTCTGTATATAGAGATGAAAATCTCTGAAATTCTTCTAAATCTTCGAAAATAAAATGAAAATTATCAACATTTTCATCCAAAATATTCAATTATTTAATGGACATTTTTAGAAATGATTCTATAAAATTATAAAACAAAGCGTGCATTGTAACGTGAATCTGATGATTGACATTCACCGAATTACTAGAGAGGTTGCGGCCGAAGTTTTTATCTCTCAAACGTGAACGCCGAATGTCGAGCTCCGCTAACTTGTAAGTGGCGCTCGACGTTTGACGTTTACGTTTGAAAGATGAAAACTTTGGCCGCAACCTCGCTACTATTTAGTCGGCAACTTCAATATTAATTAAACTGATGCTTAATGTTACCAGGAGAGTCGTGCTAAAATTCCGTTAGTTCTCTCCAAGTTTTTATATGTTTAATTTAATACAAAATCAGCTGAACATTTGTGAAGTTGTGGCAAATCTTTCTTACCAGAAGTGTTTGAATTTATAACTATAACCATAAGTTAATTTTGTTATTGCATGCGTGCATGCGAAGACAGGTGAACTCATTTTAAAGCAATAATCGCATTGTCTAAGATACACTTCTCATTACCTCTGTTATTATTTCTTGATATATTATTGCTAAAAACAATAGTTCCTGAGGAACTTTGCTTCGGGATTATTTGTACGCGTATCAGTTCCTTTGTAATCAAATAAACGTTCTCGTTTTCTCCATCCGAATACAAGAAGAATTTTTAAACCATTTTCTGCGTTATAAATGCTTAAACGTGATACAGGGAAGACCGCTTGGCCTTCGGGGGTTTCGCCTATCGCCTGACGTAGAAATCAATGGTTAATTCGAGGAGTTAAATTTAGTCGCATTATATCTTGATTTATTACCGTAATAACCGGTTGAATACAGTTTGGAACAATTTAAAAAGTAATAATTGTGTGGGNAGCAATATCGACAGTAATCTTAGAAGATATTTCCAAAGAATCACAATTTTTTTTTCATTTTTTAGTTAATATAGAAGTAATATAACAGTCGGTAGATCTATTGACCACTCAGCTGCATTTTGAAATAAAATTAACATATCAGGTAGCCGATAGCTGGCGCTCAACTTGCTTCGCGGCGGGATGAAGCTGGCCGCTGTTTTCACGTGCGACTAAATATCCAGATGGCACAACGCGCTGATTGGTCATCTGAATGACGTCAACCTACTAAAATCGGAAATGTTGATCGATCAGCCTAAACTTTGTATTGTTGTTGTTGTTGTTGTGAGCGCGTGCAGACATTATATAATAGTTATAGACATTTCATCTAAAACTTGATAAAGGCACTTATTTATAATTTCACTAGCTCTTGTGTGTATTGACATTAATTGAAAATTTTGCAATAATTTTAACATAAAATTAAGTTACGTGATATCAAAGATTTTAATGATGAGACATTTTTAAACATCAAGAAGTAACTTTTATCTGTTTTGTATTTTTTAAGCTTTTTTGTACATTTACTTTAATAATAAAATAATCAAAAACAACAAATATAAATTGCANCAGTCGGTAGATCTATTGATCACTCAGTTGCATTTTGGAACAAAATTAACATATCAGGTAGCCGATAGCTGGCGCTCAACTTTGCTCTTCAAAAAGTACAGATTATTTCTTGATATATTATTGCTAAAAACAATAGTTCCTATGGAACTTTGTTTCGAGATTATTTGTACGCGTATCCGTTCCTTTGTAATCAAATAAACGTTTTCGTTTTCTCCATCCGAATATAAGAAGAATTTTTTAACCATTTTCTGCGTTATAAATGCTTAAACGTGATACAGGGAAGCTACTGTGGTTTAATACATTTCCTGTGGAGCACTACGTCATATTACCGCGAAAAGCTTAAAAAAATCAAACACTAAGCTCCCGAAGAGCGGGCTACCTTCAGGCACGGGGCCCGTTGCCCGGCTATAACGGCGGCACCGAACAAAGCCAAACATTTCCATTGCTTCGAATGTAAAAGAGGACTATGTGCACACATTAGCAAATGCAGTGCCAGCAATTCAAAGGTTTGTTTGTTTAGTTATGGCAACGAAATACTTGGGCGATCTGCCTAGGGGATGCCTTCCGGGAGGTATTTTAAGGGAAACTGGCCCCTATTTAGGCGTTACAGACGTGGAGAAAACCCGGAAAATTCCACGTGACCAGCCCGTCCAAGCGAGGCGCAAACACACGACCGTAGGGTAAGAAGACCGCTTGGCCTTCGGGGGTTTCGCCTATCGCCTGACGTAGAAATCAATGGTTAATTCGAGGAGTTAAATTTAGTCGCATTATATCTTGATTTATTACCGTAATAACCGGTTGAATACAGTTTGGAACAATTTAAAAAGTAATAATTGTGTGTGACTTAGAAATAATTTAATGCCAAATCAAAGCAAAGACTTTATTACCGAGACAAATTCTTTATAATTACACTTATATCATTCAACAAACTATCTTAGAACGAAAATTTACAAATTCTCGAACAGAATCAGGACCAAAGTATTAAAGAAAATGTCTTCTTCTATGACTTTAATTGAATAAAATTATTCAGGTTTTTGAGTTCTCCAAATGCATTTTTATCATAAAACTTCACCATCCTGGAAGCGGCATTTATTCAAATTTATAATTTCCTATTAATAATTCCACTTGCGGTTTCGTAAAGCGTTTCGTTTAACGCGATTTTTTATCCGGAAACTTTCGTTCTTCGCAAAAAATTTTACAAAGACTTCTGTTTCGTCTATCAAAACTTCGTCTTTTCCTGTTTTTCACGTTCAACGAACTTTCGTTGAATTTACACGTCACAAACTATGAACACGATTTGAAAAAATTAAATACCAGTAAAAACACAATTCGGGAGAGTCCAGGTTCCAGGGATGACAGAAATTGGGAGTCAAATTTGAGCACAGACACAAGCCGGAAGAGTCCAAATTCCAATATAGACACGATTCAGGAGTCAAATTCGGGGTAGACGTAATTCGGGAAAGTCCAAATTCGAGTTCAGACACGATTCAGGAGTCAAATTCGAGGATGTCGTAATTCGGGAAAGTCCAAATTCGAGTATAGACACGTTTTATGAGTCAAATTCGGGAGAGTCCAGATTCGTGAGGTAGACATAAATCGAGAGTCGAGAGTCCAAGTTCGTGTAGACCAATTTGGGAAAATGATAATTCACTGCAAGACAATGAGACACAGCCGGGACAAAGCCAAAATCGGGAAGTCATAATCGAAATTGGTATTGACGCAATCGGGATGTCAAAATCAGGAGTTTTCAGTAAAAACCATATCTAAAAGTGTATGAAAAACCAATATTTTAATTTTTACTTATAAATTGTAAATTAAAACTTTACTTTTTAGGAGCTTTTTAGATTTTATTTATTAATTTTTAAACTTTATAATTTCTTTTTGTTTTTTTTTTGAATATTTTTAAATGTACAACAAAGAAATATTAAATGAAAACAAAATTAAGAATATTATTTCCTTCTAAAATGCAAATGAAGCTACATGCCAAATGATATTGCTTACCGCAATTAATTGCATACTGCCACGTGTCGTGTATGTATCAAATATGTCATTGTCAATTGTCAAATACTATTGCTTTCGCTGTGTCAAGAGACCAGCAACTTACACCCCACGACGTATTATTGTGAGTACTTGGACAGGAATATACAGACTATGTATGCCCGATACCCTAAAAACGTGGCTTTTCTGTAGGTACGATCTCAATCGCATCAAAATATAACCACGCTAATACCGTACATAAGTATTTCCAGTTTTTCTATTGTCCGGCCATTAATTGCGAGTTTTTATGAAATAGTGGTCAGAAATTGTGTTAATTTATAAACCGAGACCGTAAAATCTCCCAAGTGTTTGGTGTAGAATACAATAAACACTTACCCAAAGCCAACTCGGCCCAAATCCAGCAAATAATTTATAGCAAATCATAGAGCAGATCTTATTGTCGATGGACAGATGGAAGCCAAGAGATCCTTACTCGAACCGAACGTACTCGCATTCTCCACTTTTTGCCATCTTACACACCTTCTGCACGGATCTAAATGTAGAAAATCAAGTATAATTATTCATCGAAAACGTATAACTCGATTTGAATTCCATTAAAACATATTGCGGCGCTATATCGATCGGCTGTAAATGTTGGCCCTACAAACAACGAAAGTTAGATTATGAATTTTTCTACTAATTTATTGGTTCGGTGACGTTTTAAATTCAATTTTTCATTTAAAATAGCTTATTTTTTTCATTTCTATCTTAACTTTTCATCCAATCAGTAATGACACTGGCTTGGCGGACGAATAGGCCGATACGGCGCCAAACAATACGGGAAAGTTACGCGATTCGCAAACATTTCCAACTCAAATTCGTGTTTAGATCTTAATACTACAAACATTTTTGGCGTAATCGATACTTGGGCTTAGCGCTCACTCGATTTATTTCCAATTTCAGAGGCTAAATCGAACTTTGTTGGCGCGTACAAAATCTTACCTCTTAACGGGTTTCCACACGCTCTTAAAGAACGACCCGACTTTCTTCAATGTATTTCTATCCCTGTAATGGCCAGGATTATCTTCGTGCTCTGCCGGGTCTTCGTCTGCTTTGGTGTTTCGTGGAGGAACCGCGCACATTCCTTCATCCTCCACATCTTCGACCAATCTCTGACTAAACAAGGAAAGAAATACAATAAATACATAATTTTCAAATTGAATTACGATGAATATTTAAAAATGGTAACACTTGGAAAACATTTCCTTTAATTTCCCACAAGGGTAAGAAACTATTAAACTTATTACTATTTATTAGAAATTAAGACAATGATTCCTCGTATTTCTCAGAATAATTTCCTCGTTAAACAGCTCATACATACAATATACAAAAGTTTATTATATGCAAACAGTAATGTAATTTACCTGTTAAAACGTTGGCAGGCCGTCTGACAGATTGGTCGAACTTTCATCACAGCTTGTCTATAAGCGGGCTTAATGTTATTTTCAAACACGCCCAAACCTTCGAAAGTACCGGTCGAGGGTTCGAACTGCTTCGAGAGGCCTTTCTTCATCTTGCTGCCTCGAAATTTAAAATAATCCAAATTGTGTGGACTGACGAATCTTCGCACGTCCACATCCAATTCCTCCCTAAATATGCAAAGAGAAAATTTACAACACAATAACTATTTAATTCTACTCTCAAACTAGGTTAGATTCTCGTGCTTTTAAGTTTATTCGACAGAGGGGAAGGGCCTTTTATAAATCGACTAGTCTAAATATTTTTCTGTTATTTTAAAAAAAGACATTAAATATATTTATTAAGCGATATTCGGTTTAAAATTTTAGTAAATTTCGTCATATTAACGACTCTTCGGTACTAGAGTTAGACCTAACCGTGATATAAAAGAGGCCCGATTACTCGTTTAAACAACAGTAAATTGAAAAGCCCTAAATTATCTTCTTAACGCCAGGCTCTGAACTGTGCCTTATAAAGCCCTCTATTTCAACCCTCTATTGCGGTCAGACACAAAAATCGTAAAGTCGCAATCTTTACATTTAATTTAATTAGGCCTAATTATATATTGTAGATGGAAGTTTTTCTTTAAAGAAAAACTTAAAAACCCTTTAATTGCTAAAACCAATTTCTTATCCGAATAAATAGTAATAAAATGTCTCTTACCCCGGAGGATGGGGCAGGGGTCGATAGTCTCTACCATTAAAAAACATCTTCGAATCGCTTTCCAAATCGCACTCTTCCTATTAACAAGAGCAAAACTACGCAACAACAACAACTTCAATTGTTGAATTCGTTTGTTACGCGGTAAACCAAAAAAAAGCGGGAATTTAATGAACAATTTTGGATTTTTTTAAATTATAATTTCAGAATCTGGCGTCTGTATAATAACGATTAAAAAACTACGTCACACCGGTGTAGGGTTAATTAATTAACCGCCGGGTGGCCGAGTGGTTAAGGTGGCAGCCTACTTTTCTGGGGGCCCAGGATCAAATCTGAACGAGTTGGTGTGGTCCGTTCGGATATGTCGAGGATAAATACAGAATCTATACAGACGGATCGAGATCCTCAGAAAGAGTGGGAGCGTCGTATGTTTATTACTATAGAAATAGGGAGCAGTATCATAAAAAAAAATCAAGTTAGATAAAAGATGCACAAATTACCAAGCAGAATTGGTAGCAATAGATCATGCAATTAACTGGATAAGTCAAAGGAAGAAAAATATAAAAATTACTATTTGTACAGACAGCCAGACTGTATTAAAAAATCATATACGACTACTTTGATCCGTTTCAAGTCATATCGAACCAAAAAGTGGCGGGCTTGATAAAAGACGTCACGTCATGGCCGTTTATTTATTATAAAAAATAATACAGTGGTTATATGACACGAAGCGTTGCTACACAATACAAATACAAAAGTTTATATAACACAAATCATTGTTACACACATATGTAATGACAGGAGAGAAATTTAACACAAGGAAATGAAAGAGCGGACAGTCTGGCTAAAGAGGCTAGTTATCTTAAAACAAAGGAATCATACAGAAAAATATCTACAAAATACATAAAAACTGAAATCAAAAATAAATACATATTACAGAGTTAACAATGGTGGGAAATAACTACAAAAAGAAGGGAACTCTTTGAATACATACCAAATATTAACCAGAGGTTAAATAACAAACATCTACAAATTGGACACAAATTCACAAGATTCGCAACAGGACATGGAGATTTTGCAAAATATCATTATAGATTTAATCATCGAGATGATGAAAACTGTGAGATTTGTGGGGTAAGTGAAACACCCACACACATCTTATTTGACTGTATGCAATATGAAAAAGTAAGAAACGAGTTCAAATTAGTTTGTGATAAAGAAGATTACAATTGGCCTATTAGGAAAAGTAGCATTATAAATAATGTTAACATACATTATTATTTCAATGAATTTATAAAAACTTGTTATAAAAGCAGAGCATAAAAATTTCTCTCATAGTTCGTTGTCAAATTAATGACATCAAATACTTTACTCAACAAAAATATAATTAATGTAAAGAAATAGAATTTACATCGTTCTAGACTGCATATTTTAATATCAAAAAACACTTATTACAACACCTTTTCTTGCAGTCGACGTTTATTAGAAAACTTTCAAACGTTTTCGGTCTTCCGAAAACGTTTGAAAGTTTTCTAATAAACGTCGACTGCAAGAAAAGGTGTTGTAGTAAGTGTTTTTTGAGAAATAGAATTGTCGGGTATTAATGTATCACGGCTACGACCGCGACTGTGTAATCATAACTACCTGCAAAGCATATGCGAAGCAGTGTTAATTAAAAGAGGCGTACCTCAAGCCAGTAGCATTTAATGCTACTGTACAGGTCAGAGGGAGTGCTCCACTAAATCTAAAAATGTCGAGCTCCGTCCCTTACCCAATGTGGTCCTGGCCGAACCCATAACGGGCTTGCTAAAAGAGGCTCTCTTAGTGCCAACAGGACGGAAAGATTTAAAAAAAAAATAATAATAATAATAATAGTACTTACAGGACGGTATGAGTAATGAATAAAAAAGGCAAAAACAATTTTTAAAAATTATTATTTTTTTATTTAAAACAAATAAAAAAATAATTTACAGAAATTAATTTAATTAAAATATTTAAAAGTAGTAATTAATAAAATATTTTAATATTTATTTATTATTAATGCTGATGCAATTTCGTAAAGAGGGAGCGTCATTCGCACATGTGCTTTGCTTAGGAAGACAAGATGGCGGACAAGCTTAAGGATTTTATGGGAAGGTTTTCTAAAGGTCCTAGCGGACTTTCCACCGGTTTAAAGTTATTAGTGGCTGCCGGTGGATTGGCTTACGGCGTTACTCAATCTGTGTACACGGGCAAGTATCGTATTTCTTTTCTAATTCTCCCAGAAAGCTTTTATATTGTTTTCGTTCTTTGTAGTTTGAAGATAAAATGTTACACGAGTGTATAATGGGAACGTTCCTTATCAGTTCCAGAATAATTTATATTATTACAATATCTTATATAATTAAAAACAGGAATTGAGTAGAAACACTTATGAATCTATACGTTCGGAGTTGGTAGAAGTTACCTTTCGGTACTTTATAAATATACGCTGTACGTAGACCTAAACGTAACGATAAGATTCCTCCTGAATGAGACGGGTGTGATCTTATCAGAGCTGTAGATCATGCTCATAAAATTTCGGAGCTCCAAACCTTCCATTCAGAACTGCAATTTTACGTGAAAGAGGGGCTTGAACCTGTTACAAAANTAGAATGCACTGTTAATGATTCCTTTATTTTGTTTTTCTGAAATAGAAAACGGAACTGACACGTGACCCGATGCAATGGCTTCGTTAAGATTTTATTAATGCTGATGCAATTTCGTAAAGAGGGAGCGTCATTCGCACATGTGCTTTGCTTAGGAAGACAAGATGGCGGACAAGCTTAAGGATTTTATGGGAAGGTTTTCTAAAGGTCCTAGCGGACTTTCCACCGGTTTAAAGTTATTAGTGGCTGCCGGTGGATTGGCTTACGGCGTTACTCAATCTGTGTACACGGGCAAGTATCGTATTTCTTTTCTAATTCTCCCAGAAAGCTTTTATATTGTTTTCGTTCTTTGTAGTTTGAAGATAAAATGTTACACGAGTGTATAATGGGAACGTTCCTTATCAGTTCCAGAATAATTTATATTATTACAATATCTTATATAATTAAAAACAGGAATTGAGTAGAAACACTTATGAATCTATACGTTCGGAGTTGGTAGAAGTTACCTTTCGGTACTTTATAAATATACGCTGTACGTAGACCTAAACGTAACGATAAGATTCCTCCTGAATGAGACGGGTGTGATCTTATCAGAGCTGTAGATCATGCTCATAAAATTTCGGAGCTCCAAACCTTCCATTCAGAACTGCAATTTTACGTGAAAGAGGGGCTTGAACCTGTTACAAAAATAAAATTATTCCCCTCCAAAAACATTAATTAAAAAACTGGCCCACCAGTGATCAAGCTGTTCCATTCCCAGTAATGCATTTGTCTGTAAACCCCTGAATAGGAGCCAGTTACCCTTAAAAAGACCACCTGGAAGGCATCGCCCAAGTATTGCCATAACTTAACAAATACATTAAAAAACTAGATGAATAAAAGTCGGTCAAACTTTACCTACGTGCGCCGTCATGGCAGCACAGTGGCTACTCATGTTCTAACACACGGGTTCCCAACCTATGGGTTGCGACCCAGAAGGGGGTCGCGACGGGTTTTCTGTGGGGTCGCCAACTTATGCAGTAAACTAAAACAAAATTTTCACTATAATGTAATATTTATTTTTAATGGTGTCTTAAAGTTTGAATAATTTCAAGTTTGAATAATAACAGAAAGAACTACCGAAATTTCTGTAAGGTGCCTCGAATCTAATGCTATACAACTAAGAAAATTCCAAGAATTAACGGAACAATGTAATTATATTGTAAGATTATTTACGTATAGTTGTAATTAGCATTTTTTTGTGACAGAATAGCGTACCCAGATTACACTTATTTTAATTTTTAAAAAATTAAAATAAGTGTAATCTGGGTACGCTATTCTGTCACAGTTGGTTGAAACATGTGTTGAGAGTTTTGAGAGGAATAAATTAAATGTTGAGAATGACATGAGGTTGGCGTTAACAAAATCTCACCCGCGAATTTTGAGGCTGGTTAATAATACATGCAATTTCAACTATCTCATTAAATTAATTATTAAACATAATTTAAAATAAAATTATACTAAAAAACTAATTTCATTGTTTTTTAATTACCTTATTAAAAATACCTTTTTCAATTGTATCGGGGTCGCGGGTCACTTGGCTTTTATAAAAAGGGGGTCGCCACCCGAAAAAGGTTGGGAACCGTTGTTCTAACATAACTTAGCCTAACCTATTCTAATAAATAGGTTAGGTTAATTAAATTAATTAAAAACCTACTAATGTGAGGTGGGAATAAGGACTTATCACACCAGTGATAATATGCACAAACACCCAGGTATAAATGGAATACATTTAATAAAACGAGAAGGGGTGTACATTAAAATCGATTAAATTAACAGTTAACATGAAATAACCAAAATGCATTTCGGACTATCAGAATAGTCCCTCTTCAGTTGGTATACATATATAAAAAAGGTGAGATACTTAAAATTATACAAGACAAAGGAACTGTTATAAAGGTATGATCATTGATCAATAAATGGGTGTAGAGGAGACAGTCTTAAGTTGGCTTCATTATATTACATGGTAGCTTGACATAAGGTTACTATTATAAACAGTATTAAAATTAGTGGAATAATAAGGTAATTGTTTTACAAAATAAGTTTTAGCTACATACCATAATAGTAGTAAGATGGTGTTTGAAGGTAGCATTGCTACAAGATGCAGAGCAGTTATGAGGGAGGTGTGTTACAGGCAACATCTGGAGAACAAGTGGTGACTAACATCTTAATGGCCAACCTTCATTACATTACTTCTTAACCAGATGTTAGTATTAAGACTATAGATTTCATCATTTAACAGATGAGGGTCTGGGCTCAAATATGCTGATAGAGCCTAGAGATAGAGAAATATGCTAATAGAGTCTGTGCTTAATTTAATTAAACCAAGAGCAAAAAGCAATTTCTTTATATTAAAGTTAGGTTAAGTTAGGCCATGACGGTGCACGTAGGTAAAGTTTGACCTAAAAATCGTAAAATATAAAACAGACTTTTTACCATTTCTCAACAGGAGTTATTTGAATTTGCTGTTTTGTATCATTTGTTTTTTACATTAAAATAACTTGATACAGAAACTTACCTACTTAGACTTAAGGTTCAACAAATTTATTGGTTTAATTAAAGACAGTTAGATTTCCTTTTTGTATTAATAGTTAGAAACAAAAGGAAATTGATGAAATAATTTAAAAAATCTTAAAAGGTAAATTTCGGGCAAGATCCTCAAGTTTCACATGGTCTCGGTAGCAGTACGAATGTTTATTAAAGTAATGTTTTTGATCATTGAATATTACTGAATTAAATCAATTATGTGTATTAATGTGGTAATATAATGAGAATTTTATAAAATCGTAAGAATTAAGAAAGAAATCCTAAAACTGTTTAAAAATTGGTAGAGAAGCAACAAAACTCGTATTATAAAAGTTAAGAATTGAAACGTGGCCTATTTTTATTTTTCTATTTAAATCTTTTTTAATTTATATATAAGTAATTAACAATGCTTCTAATTAAACAAGAATTAGAAAGTATTAATTAATGACTTGTTTAAAGGTAAACTACAGGCTTTTAATTCCCATTTTGATAGAATGCACTGTTAATGATTCCTTTATTTTGTTTTTCTGAAATAGAAAACGGAACTGACACGTGACCCGATGCAATGGCTTCGTTAAGATTTTACAATAATGATGTGCATTTTGAGTATTTGTACCACTTCTCTTATATACTTCTGTTTACAAGTAACTATGTTAAGAGATTAATGACTACTAGATATACTTCTGTTTACTAGAGATGTTATAAAAATGTATTATGTAAAATTTTAATAAGGTAGTTACATTAGGTCATGCATGTAGGGTATGATTTTGTTCACCCATTTTGAAGTTTAATAACTAATGTCTGTTGTTGAAAATTTCTGAAATTTTGCAGGGAAGTTTGTGTATTAGGAGCATTGATGCTATTAAATTTCGGTGGTTAAAGGTCGGGGGTCACATGTCACATCTTGTGTGGAGTCAGACATAATGTAGATTTTACTTGTTACAATTTTTTATAAAATTTATCTCTAGCTTCAGAAGTAAGCTTTTTGCCATTTTATAATGTAAAAAGCTTTTTAAATAAAATCTCCTGACAGATGGCACCATCACAGTTTTAAATTCTTTTGCCAGGAGTTACTCGCTCATTGTTGGATTTTTTTGTAATGTTTTAGAGTTAGTGGTTGATAATCAAAATATTAAATATTACTCTATTTGTTACTCCTTCTGAAGTCATGTATAGACTAAAGAGGTTTTTTCCTGGAATGTAACAGTGCCCTAAGCAGACCATTGCTTGGTTTAGTGCTGTCTGGTTAGGCCATTTTTTTCTGGTCTCAAACAAAATTCTGAACGGTAACAAGCTTTTCTAATAAAATGTTTATTGATGCTACTGCTTGGAACATTGTTATGATAGGTTCTGTCTTTGAAGCTCCAATGTAAACATTTTTTTGATGTTTTGGAGTGGAATAGTCTTTGAAATGAACAATCTCTGAACTGAGTGTTGAGTAGATTCTGTTACACTCAGATGTTAAGAGTCATATACATACTAACAAGCATGTTACAATGCCTGGTTGGAGTGCTGTTAAATAATTGAAAGTGCACTATAGTCTGTACAAGACATCATCAAATACAGGTGTTTTTGTATACTTTAATCAAAATAATACATTTTATTTTAATTTAAAACTATTATTTAAATCTTCATATAAATATATTAGAATGGTAATACAATGTATTGGAATATAATTAATTAATTTTAATGATCAAAATTGTACAACCTAATCCTGGGAATTTCTATGATATTTTTATGTGGCCTAGGAACAGAAAGAGTGTCAAGACTCAGAAATTCTATTATTAATCATTCATTCACTAAGCAATAATTTATGGTTCTCAGGATACTTTTTGTTAAGAGAGACTGAATAGAATGTTTTCTAAATAATATAAGATGTATTGTTCATTTTTATGTCAATTTGATCCCTTCACTTTTACCACAGGCAAGTTTAAAAACTGATGTAAAAGTGCTAACAACGTACATGGAACCAATAACTGGTGTGAAATAGAAAAAACAAACACAGATGTTTCCAACTCCTTCCAAGTTCTTCCTCAGGTGTTATAATGGTTGCCAGATGGAACATTGTAAAAGCTTTTTATGGAATATAAAATTTGAACAAGCATTTGAATTATAAGTACATAAAATTCAAAATAACTAAGTTGCACATGCATATTTCTGTGTTTAACCTTGGCTGGATATCTGTTAAGCACAGGAATACGCATGCACAACTTAGTTATTCTGAATTTTTGTGCCTATAGTTCAAATGCTTGTTCGAATTTTACGACGTTCCATCTGGTAACCGTTATAATACCTGAGGAAGGAATCTGAAGGAGTTGGAAAACATGAGTTTGTTTTTTCTATTTCATACCAGTTATTGGTTTCATGTACGTTGTTAACTGCATCCCTGTGTGGTGTAAAAGTGCTATATAGTAACCAACTAAACAATGTTCCATTGTAATCAATTATGTACCTCAAAGCCTGTAACAGGCTTCAAGGTACATAATTGATTATATTCCGGTGTTGGGTGAAGTGAAGTCATAATATTCCATTGTAATAAATTGAATACTTATAGCTGATAAAATATTATAACAATTGGAGCAAGGAATTGGGGACATTTGCTGTATTTTGCAAATCACATACATGAATAGAATGATATAACATGAAGGATATAATAGAGTTAAACACAGTTATCCTGTAAGTTATACACACAAAAATGCAATATATTTCTTTAAAAATGATTTATTTAGAAAGATACTGATACTTATTTTATGCAAATTGTTTTCCTCATTTGATAAATACTTCATCATAGTCTCAATTCTCTTTTGAGTTTATGTAATAAAACATTAAAGGAAAAAAAGTAATATAAATTGAAGATATTTTTATTTCACGAAGAATGAATTGTTCCTAAATCAAAAGTTAAGAATAAAATTAATTATTTTATGGAGCAGAGGGGTGATGGAGACAATGACAGTTAGGGTACAACTATGTAGACACGAGTGAGCAACAATATGTGGCAAGAAGAGGTGATGGCATTTCACACTGTTTCTTGCTCTCATCTGTGTTGTCATAATAAACAAGAGCATAAAACGTCATCACCTCTTCTCGCCATATATTCTCACTCACTTGCTCAGATCTGCATAGTTGCACCCTTAGAGGGTCAGAAGATGGTGCTTGGAATGATTGCATACATTAGAGAAAGTGAACCCCCTCATGCATTTGGGCATCATTCCCAAATGCATGCAGTGTTTGACTTAAAAAGTACACATTCAATTTAATTTTTATTTTACAATTGGACTGTCGAGGACAGGAATGTTAAAACCGATTAACTATTACAATATAAATTCTTAAAATGTTGACTAAATGATGGACATGATTGATGCAGGAGTTGCATTTGGGAAAGTTAATGTAAAACAAAAATTTGTACAACAGAAATATATTGAAATTCCAAGAGACTTGTTCCTTAAATGCACAAATAATTATCAATGTAAACAATTCTTTGATTTTATGTTAAATATAAAAAACCCTTTTAATTTATTGACATAAATAAGGTAAAGTTAAATAAAATTGGTATGTACTATATGAAAATAGTTACTTCAAAATATCAACAGAAACTTGCTTGTATGTTATATTAAAGCTTTCTGTCTCAGTTAATATTGATAAAGGTATCTGCACTACAAGTAATTGATAAATGTTGAGATACCTTTATCAATTACTTGTGTATTATTTGTGTTTCTGCTATATAAGTGCCATTGACTGTTTTTTTGTTGCTATGCTCATATTAATGTTGTATATGTATTTGTAAATATGAAGGTAATGTCATAATTATTGATCATTACTGAATGAAAGAGTATGAAGCCAGTTGTATTAAGTTTCTATAGGCCTTCACATAGTCTCTGACCGTGTGTAGCATCTGTTCAAAAATGTCTGGAGAGCATCCTACTCTGTTGGCAGAGCCATTTTCACAGATAGAGCAATTGGACTGCTCTATTGCAACTAAAATAACATCTGTCAATGGGAATTGTTGCCTTCATAAATACTTGGTTTCTGGAACAAGTCAAAATTACAGGGAGACATGTCAAGTGAATAAGGCAGATGTGCAACAATCTCCCAACCTTATTTCGGTTGCAGTGTTGTTACCGTATTAGCAATATGACAATAAGTATTGTCGAGTAACAAATTCAACTGTTCTTGCACAAATGCAAGTCTCTTGTACCAAAGTGTGTGTTGTAAATGAGGTTTAAAGAATATTTTGTAATGCTGTGCATTAGCTATTGTCTCAGAAGACAAGCTTGTGTGAAGATAACAGTAGCAGCCATATACTGTGATAAGCATCATTTTACATCTTCAGGATACTGGATAACATTCTTCTGGTATCTATATGATAAGCATTGCTTTGACATTACTAAGAGATTGCCAGAGCTGCCTTGCTCTAGGGGAACTGGAAAGTCATCATTCAGCTAACATGTCTCCCTCTGATTTTGTCTTGTTCCAGAAGCTAAAGGAGCTTTTAGGAAATTAATGATTTCTAATAACAGATGTCATTCTAGCTGCAATAGAGTGGTCCATGCAATCTAGCCATGAAAATGGCACAACTCTGCCAATAGAATATGGCACCCACTAGACATTAATTTATTATTCATTAATAAAGCCTGTAGCCTCTTACAAAAGTATAAATGTATTAAATTTGTCCCTTAAGTTTTAGTATGACAATTAAAATCATTGTGATACTATCAATATTTATATATTTTGGGAAACACTTTGTTTTCATTATTCTTACTAGTTCATTTAACTCTCAAATTGGGGGTAGGTGTTAAGAGTATTTATGAGGGATTCAGAAAAATTTTGTGTTATAGCTCTTAGGATATTGAAATGTTCAGAATGAACATATTTCATAAGCTTTGTTTACACTGTCATACAAACCACTATGAAGAATAAAACAAACACTAACGAAAACAAAGTATTGTCTGCATCGTACTATGCAACACTAAGTTAGGATGTGATTGGTTAAAAAGATTTCAGATACTTAAAAATTCAAAAAATTGATTGTTTAAATGAACTGAAGTTTGGCAAAAGTTTAGATATTCTCAACTCCTAATGTGAACCTCTTGAACACTCACCAAAAGGTAATTTTGTATGGCAGTTTGTATCTACTTTTTAGTGATTTGTATGCCAATGTAAATCTTGCTTAAATGGAGAGATTACTATATTTATTCTTATAGTTTGTGATTAGTCATTTAATGTAAAAATTTGACATATTATGAATTTTCAGTTGAAGGTGGTCATAGATCCATTATCTTTAGTCGTATCGGAGGTGTTCAAAATGAAGTTTATGCTGAAGGATTACATTTTAGGTAAGTTTTGTTTTGTTTTGTTTTCTAAAGATATTTAAATAATTTTAAAAAATCTTTTCACTTTATGCTCAATAACATGTTTTTAAGAAGTCCCGCTATGGACTGCTAATGCACTTAAATTCAAGTTTCAAATATTATGAGATTCTGAGATATGATAAATCTAAGTTTAATTTTTTTTTTTTTAAACATAAATGGCATTATCTGAAAATTCTTAAAGTATAAATACTTACAGAAAAATAGAGTTTCAGTTACTCCAGTACCTCTTTCTAAACCATGTTTATGGTACTGCCTTTTGGAACTAAGCCTTCTTAAGTGTTAGTCCTCTTCCTCTTCCCCCACAGGAGAATTTCCAAACATCCCTTCTTAGTGTGCATTCTCACGCCATACACTACTAAAACGCAGTTAAAAACAAAAAAAATTGCATCTAAAATAGTACAGAAGAAGCCGTTCTTCAGGTTAAGCCGTAATCCTTTCCCTCTCCCCCATGGGGGAATTTCAAAAAATCCCTTCTTAGTGTGCATTTTTATGACGTACCTTAACCGTGTACCAAATTTTACCTCTTTAGGTCCAGCAGTTTGCTCTGGGCGATGATGAATCAGTCAGTCAGGACATGTAATTTTATATGTATAGGTATACAAATGAGGATGTTTGTTTGCTATACACTCCTAGGCCATTCAACCAATTGCTATGAAATTCGGCAGTTACGTTCAAATACTTCTAACTTAGATTATGTCCTACATCCCACCCCAAATTATACACTGGTCTACATCAAAATTTCCTTTTACATGAAAATGTACTTTAACTAGTTTTCAATTTGCCGAATCTAATTACAGAACTTAGAAGTGATAGTTAGCTCGTATTGTTCATTTATGCTACATGAACCCCTTCTCATCCAGACCCGAGATACTTGGTCATTGTACATAGCGATTTTTAGATCTTTACATTACATTTAAAAAGATTGGACTACAGATCAAATCTGTGTCCTGGAGAAAAGAATGTCAAGCATCTTCCTCTAGTAGAATCCCAACGAATTCTTCTTTCACCTTTACATATTAAGTTGGGACTAATGAAGAACTTTGTCAAAGCTCTCAACAAAGATGGACCAGCCTTCAAATACCTGCAAAGTAAATTTCCACATCTAAGCGATGCCGAAGTAAAAGAAGGAATTTTTATTGGTCCTCAAATTCGAGAAATTCTGAAGGATAAAAACTTTGATTCGGTTTTAAGGGCTTTGAAAAGAAGGCATGAGAGTCTTTTAGAGGAGTCATTCATGGTTTTTTTAGGCAATAGGAGATATGAAAATTATGATCAGTTGGTAAACAATCTTCTACAAAAGTATCAGCAGATGGGTTGCAATATATCCCTTAAAATTCACTTTCTTACTCTCATCATGATTTTTTTTTCCTGCCAACTGCGGTGAAGTAAGCGACAAACATGGCTAACTATTCCACCAAGACATATCGACAATGTAAAAAAGATATCAGGACCGGTGGGATGCATCAATGTTAGCAGACTACTGCTGGAACTTGAAAAGAGATACCCCTGAAAGTGATTACAAAAGACAAGTGAAAAAGAAGAGAAAGTCTTGATTAAAAAATGTTATAATAATTTGTTGTTATTTCTTAATTCTCAATTTCATGTAAAAAGTTACAAAAACTAAATAAATATAGTTGAGGTTCTTTGACATTTTACTTAAATTCATAGTACAGTATTTAATACAGTCAGTCAATATCGTTTATTATATACAAAATAAGTACATTCCTGGTGCCACAATGCACTGCCGGGTGTGGAAACATGATAAAGTATAGTACAGCTTGTTTGCAATACATGAATTACAGAAGTAACAAAGGTAAAATAAGGTGTTATACAAAGAAAATAACATTATCTACGAGTATTGATACATCTAAATTTTAGCCAGATACAATAATTACAGTTGTTTACAGGAGTAGAGGTACATAATAGCAAAGATAGATAGTAATACAACATAAATATAATCATTGCTGACAGAATATGGTTATACAAAGAAACCCGAAAAATATGATTTTGATGTAGAAACAAGAGATGTAACAGAATAATGACACACGTCTTAATACAAAAGGAGCCCAGCAAGTTGTTTATCTAGTTGGAGAATAAGGTGCAGTACAACCCAGGAAATGCTGCAAAGCAGCAAGGTGCTTAAATGTGTAAGTTGTCACAAGAAGTAGCATAAATATACGTATACAACAGGCCAGAGCAAAGGCAGAGGCGATGAGAAAGAAGTAATTAGAAGTAGGAATACTCGCGTATGGTGATTGGTGCTACGCGTTTGTAGGCGAGCACTATGTTGAGGAAGGTGGGAAAAAGTTCCTTGTGCTTAAGTAGTTCTTGCTGCTGACATGGCCAAGATATATTAATTTTCTTTGCCATTAGTTTGATTTCTAGTCGTTCTTTTGTGAGGCAGATGCATCTGTATAGATAATGGTTGGGGCCATCCACTTCCTTGCAGATGGCACATAGGGGATAGCATTTCCTCGTGAACCGGTGCACATAATTGGAGAATTTTCCGTGACCAGTTATAAACTGTGTGAGTTGAGAGTTGTTGCGAATGCAAGTGTAACTGTAGTGATTAATAACATTAGGGATGAAGTGATGGTTGCTATGATTGAGATGCAGGAGTTTTGCCAATGATGAAGAACTTCAGTATATAGGAGATTTTTGATTTTTTGATGGCTGATCTTATGGTAAATGGATTCAAGCGTGTTATCGTTGGTGGCATCCTTCACCAGCTGGTCTGTTCTTTCGTTACAGGCAGTGCCTTGATGCCCATGAACCCAGCTGATGCAGTAGTTGTTGGCGGAGTTGTGAGTTTCTTGATAGCAGTAGAGAGTGGATGTAGCTGTCTACGGTTAATGAGTTTAATGGCGGGCTGGCAATTGGTAAGGATAGCAATCTGCTTATTTGTGCAGCGCTGCTCAGACCAGTTTATGGCCATGTGAATGGCCACAAGTTCGTCCTGGAAAACGCTGCATAAGTCGTCGAGTCTGTACATTTCGTGATGGATCTCGTGATTTTCCCTTATCACAACGAAGGCGCAACCGATGTTCCCATTAAGGCCTGAGCCATCTGTATAAATCTCCAGGTCAGGGTTGCTGGGCATGTCAGTGCTGATGTGACTATTGATATACGGAGGGGTGATGTCTATGACTGGATTCATACTTTCATAGTTAGCACCAGGAATGTTGTAGGTATCAATACTGATGTCATGCCCAGTTTTGAGTTTTCAGAGCTTGTAGCTGGCATGAATGATATTGGTAATGGGTGGCTTATGGGTAATGATTTGTAGACTATGATTTGGTGTAGTTCTGTTGGTTCCGGAGATTAGGATTAGGGCTTTACGCTGTGATGATATCAACTTCCTGTGCAGATGAACTTTATTGGCGGCCCAGCCCCAGCTGCTACTAGCATAAGTGATGATGGGTTTAAAAATAAGATCGTAGATGATGCTAAAGGCATTAGATTTTAGTCCCCATCTTTTGCAAGCGACCTGAGCAAAAGCTTGAAAGATGAGGTTAGTGCAGTTGGTGATGTATTTGACGTAGTCATCCCAGCTGAGACTGTGGTCCATGCAGATACCAAGATACTTGATGGTTTTTTTAACTTTAATGGATCTGTTGTTTATCCGAATAGTTGGAGTGCGACGATAAAGATTCAGTTGGCCAGACTTATTAAATACCAAGCAGGTGGTTTTTTCGACATTAAAATAAAGCTTATACCTGAGGCACCCAGTTGTAAATCTGATTGAGGGTATCATTGCCTCTTTGCTCAAGTGCCGAGTGAGAGTTACCATCGATCAAAACCAGGACGTCATCTGCGTAAGTAGTGATGCAGTTTTGGCCAAAGTTCTCATGGAGAAAAGGGTCAAAAGTGAGGTTCCACAGAAGTGGTCCACAGACCGACCCCTGCGGCAACCCTGAGCAATGCTCCTCTCAACTTGCTCTGACCCGTAATGAAGAATGGCTTTTCTGTTGTTGAGATAGTCTCTTAATAAATAGTAGATGTTGGCTGGGCAGCCGATTTGCTTGAGTTGAAGCATGATGAGACGCCACCAGACAGAATCAAAAGCCTTAGAAATATCTAGGCTGATGGCTAGTACATACTTGTGTGTGTTGAGGAGGCATTCGGTGTTCTTTATGACATGGTGAATGGCATCGGCAGAAGACCATTGCTGTCAAAAGCCGAATTGTGCTTCACTAAGGATGGTATTGGTTTCGATGTGCCAGGCCAGGCGGTCTGTTAAAAGTCGCTCAAGAACTTTGCCAAATACGTGCAGCAGGGAGATAAGCCGAGCACAATCAGGTTTGCCAGGCTTTGGGATTGGAATCATTTTTGTAATTTTCCACTTGTATGGGAAAATCCCATTGTGCGGGCAACTGTTTATCATATTGCTGATGTGCTCGGGTATGAGATTCCAGATAGTTTTGGCTATTTTGCTGTTTATGTTGTCAATGTCAGGAGCTTTATTGTCCTTAAGAGTCATGAAGGCATGATTAATTTCATCGTGGCTGAAGTCCGGAGAATGGTCAGTATGAATAGGTGAATTCATGTCTTCCCGCACTTGTTTGTGCCAAGGGGTGTCATCATTTGTATTGTCCTCGATGCAGAAGGAGCCCATTTGTTTGTTGATGATGTCATGAAAGCTGTTGCCGATGGATGCTGTGTCATGGTTGACCAAGATTTGTGTTTTCCTGATTTTATTGGTGCACAGTTTTGTTATATAGCCCCAAGGGTTGGAAGAAGCTGCAGAGCAGTACAAAGAAGCCAAGAGTGAATCGTGGCTTCTTTGATTTCCTTTTTATAGAGTACTTCGTGGTTAAGATAGAGTTGTTTGAGATTGGTGCAGTTGGGTTCCGTTCTGCATTTTTGGTAATTCTTTCTAATCCTGTTGTTGATGTTGCGAAGCTCAGTGAGCTTATCTGTCCACCAGGGGACAGAGCGGTGCTTAGGAGTAGTTTTTGGGATGTATAGCTCACATGCACGTTGTATGGTATTGATGTTATGGTCGAGCGCTTGACATGTGCTGTCCCTGTTGTTGAGGCTGCAGTCAGTAAGATTAGAATCAAGGTAATTCTGCATCTCGGACCAGTCGGCAAGTGTTAAGTTGTATTTGTGTTTAGAGAGGTCAGGAGAGCTCATGATTTAATCAATACTGAGAAGATGAAAGGAGATATATGAATGGTCACTCAGACTGCAGTCATCAAGAATCATCCACCTATCAAGATCAGTGGAGCAGTTTGAGCTACAGGTGGTCACATCTATTCATGTTTCTCCTTGGGCAGAGGTGAGAGTGGGTTGTTGAGTAGCTGAAACCTGTTTTGGGCAAAAAACTCCTCGAAGACATCGCCATGTCGATCCTGTTGTTCACCGCCCCAGGTAGGAGAATGAGAATTGATGTCCCCAAGTAGAATGACCTTGGTGTCACGAAAGTTGTCATTCAGTGGATAAGTTTGTGGTGCAGGATGGAGAGGTTAGGGTTCGTCACAATGGTAATGGCCCACGGGTACTTGTCAGTGCCTCTGAGCACAGAGCAAAAATTGGGTCGACAGGCAGTCTTGTTACGCAGACAGTAGGGTTCCTAAACGAAAATTAGATCATATTTGTAACATTTACTAGCGAGAAGGGAGGTGGCAGAGATGCCTCTTCCCAGATTGATTTGCAGGCAACTGATACTATTTTTCTTACTAAGATCCATAATCTGTGTGGTCACTGATACTATTTTTGACTTGCTGATAGATCGGGCAGGAACTGTCACGAGCATTGTGTGAAGTTTGGTTAGCTTTCTCAGTATGGCAGTTTGTACATTTTGGACTATTGGCACGGTTTGGACATTCTTTGTATGTATGATTACCTGCACAGTGGCTGCAGGTGGAAGTCTCGTGAGCACAGCTTTTGATATTGTGCCTGTAACCACAGCACCTGTAGCACTGAATTATGGAGACAAAGTTGGCTACTTTGCACCGAGACCATTCTATGTTTAGTTTTTCTATAGTAAGGAGCTGCCGTCTGAGTTGGGGCGTGACCTCCACTATCCAGTTACAATATTGCCCATTCTGTTTTCCAACATTAAACTTAATTTTAAAATGTTCACTAAAGTCTTCTTCTTTATAGTTCTCATTTAATAAACTATTTGGTTCATAAATTAATTTGGATAGGACCGCGCAAACTGTTTGTGTATGGAGTAGATGATAATATGCGGATTTCTCTTTTTAGGTCTTTTTGTGTGTAGCTCCGGAATATTTTCCTGTATTTTTTTTCCAGCTTTTTGGTTTCTTGTTTGTTGTTTAATTCTATAGCAGTTCCTCTGGAACCGATGCACTGAATGTGCTCAACCCCAATTCTCAGCTTAGAAGACTGGATTTTTTCTTGTATAAGCTTGCGAGTATTGTCGCTGTTCTTGTTATCATCCTTTTGATAAACCAAGAGGACGTCTTTGCTCTGTTTATTGGTTTTAATTTTTTCTGAGGCATTAACAGTGATGCCAGATTTCAAAATGGTGCTATAGGAAGGAATGGAAGTAGACACTTGGCGTGCCTTTGTCTGCTTTAGTTCAGTTATGGCCTCCTGTTTTGTCAGCCTTAGCAGAAACAATTTTCAGCACTTCTTCCTTAGTTGGTAGTTGTGCCAGTTTTTCCTTGATGTTTTCTTACAGAGCATGCTTGCGAAGAGTGGCTTCGGCATTGGTTATAATTTTTGCAATCTGTTCTGTGAGGTACTTGATATGCTCTCTGCCATTGAGGTGGCCTTTAGGGTTACTGTAGCAGTAACCTCATCTAAAATTGTATATGAATCCTCCAAAAAGTTTGAAATGGCATTTCGAGCCATGCTGAGGATATATTTCTAGTGAGAGAAATATCCAAAAAATAACTGAAAGCTGTCTGGCGCTCTAGTCTGATGCATGTTGACACGCTAATATTACGTATTACCAAGACAGGCTAGGAGGAGCACTAGTCTACCCCAGTCACAGCGGTGTGAAGGGGACGAAGGAGAATAAGAAGTAAGAACAATAAACTATGGCTAAATCTTATAAATTAACAGAAAGTCTGCAATGGGAAAGCAGCTGTAGCCCAAACACCGAGCAGCTACAGCATGCCGAATGGCTGCACCCACCACGTGGTAGGGAACAAAGCCTTTTGTCCAGCGAAAAGAAAAACGGATCGCTTTCAGAGTTAAAAATGATACACCATCAAGATAATAATAATAGCACTATGTACAAATAACCGCTGACAAAGAATGAAATAGAAAAAGCGAACCGAACACGTGGGAGATGGTGCAAAAGTCCAAAATTTCGAGCTCCAATAACCCAAGCAAAAGTCTAGCAAATTAAAAGATACTAGTACCCGCGGAGAGCGCTTGTCTTCCTGACTCCAACAATGTATTACACTTCGCTATAATCCACTTGGTATTAAAAAAAATCATGATCAAACCCGGATCACATGTAACACACAACATATCACTTCCGACCCCTAGCAGTCAATCCAGTATTTAATACAGTCAACCCCCTGTAACACTGTTGATTATTCTGTTTTATATGAATTCCATGTTGTACAAGTCACTTAGATTTTACAAATACGTGTGCAAGGCTGTGAACAGCTCGCATATTTGTAAAATCTAAGTGACTCGTACAACATGGAATTCATATAAAACGGAATTATTAACAGTGTTATAGGGGAGGCGACTGTATTCGCGATATTTTGAAACCAAGATCTAATTTTAAAATTTTATTTGTATATTCATATTCAGTGACCCCAAATTAGTATAAAAACATAGCATTTATTTAAAAGACACACAAAAAGTTTGATTTTGTAGCCAGTGAATTATCGATTGGATTTCTATATATTGATTATTTTCTGTCTACATTTGATTGCTGGCTTTACATGTAGTACCATCTATTGGAAAAAATTTAACAAAATTAACTAAATGTAACTCTTACAAAAAAAGGATATATTATATTCACTGAATTACTGCAACAATGATATAGATGCACCATTNAATTCTAAAAAAATATATATTATATTCACTGAATTACTGTGATAATGATATAGCATGAAATAGATGTGTCATTATGCCTTTACTGCAACAGGTAGTGCATAGCACTTACCTGCGTGTAGTATAGTAGTGTTTTGCCCCTGTACATCATACTTAGTTTCTTAGAGTTAATATTAGAAAATATTATATCTGAAAAATTGATATATTTTCAATTCCTGTCTACTTGACCATTGAATTTGTGCCATTTCGTACCATCCGAGTATTGCGATAAATGCGAAATTAGTAAACTGAAATAAGCAAACTCTTTATATGGTTTTGTTTTAATGTTTGTTATGTTATAGTATTTGATTTATATAACTACAAAGGTTATCTTACATAAGGGTTTATCACACCGAATGACCAATCTAGCATATTTTAAAAGTTCTTTATTCCTCTACTGTACACAATTTAAAGAATTTTTAAAATGTGTTAGATTGGTCATTCGGTGTAATTGAATAAATTCTTTTTGATTGTAAGCTCACTTACTAATTTAATAAAATTCCCTTTGTTATTTGCTTTTCCATGTCTCAATAGCTATTAATAATTGTTTAGCGTATATGCTTTGATAACTGCTAAATTATCGTTTAATAAAATTTTTCTTAACATTTCTATTGTTTTGCTTCCTCTATTAAAGGTATTATTCATTTGATAATTGGTTAGTGATTAAGTTTATTATAGCTATTTTTTTTCTTATGTTTTAATTGTTAAATCTTCAATTCTTTTATCTAATTTAGTTATAAGTTCTAAGTTAAACCCATTTAAAGGTAGATTAAATTCTAAGCCAAATTTAGATCAGTTTTAGCTGGATATTAGGGTAACTGGTGACACCTCACAAGTATGCCAGCATGACGTATAGAGTTTACAACATAAATTACTACATATCTTAATAGGAATCAGATTGTGCTTTGTTGTTTGTATGTGCCTTGTTTGAGGACCTACTTACCTCTCTTTTGAGTGATCTTGAAGGATGATTGCACGTTCTCAATAGTACTCATTACTCACTAGTACTTGTACTAGCAACTGAGAAGTTGTTAGATATACATGTCCACTACAAAGGCTATTAATTACAAGGACAGAAACTATCTCACCTGATTGGAAGTTCTTTTAGGAAGTGTGCCTTTGTCCCCATAACAGCATGGATAATAATTTATTTGAACTAAAACATGTGTATCATATATTACTCCTACTGTTGTGTCCAATAAAATTAATGTTCCTTATATGTCCACTTTCTCTGCACATTATAATAGCATCAAAGGAAGACAAGAGTTTTGTCTTTTACTTTTTATTTCTCTTTAATAAACTACTAAAAATTTTGTAATCATGTTATGATTTTATTTTAATTAGTTTTTATTTATATTTCTAGAATTCCTTGGTTTCAGTATCCCATTATATATGATATTAGAGCAAGACCTAGGAAATTATCTTCTCCGACTGGAAGCAAAGGTATTAAAATTTCTTTATAAAATAATTTAAAAACCTTTGGACTTTAATACTCTTTCTTAATTTAGATTTACAAATGGTTAATATCTCTCTTCGAGTTTTGCAACGACCTGATTCAGCCATGCTGCCCCTTATCTATAAAATGTTAGGAACCGATTACGACGAGCGTGTGTTGCCTTCAATATGCAATGAGGTTTGTCTTTTTTTATCGTAATAGTTAAGAATTATATTTAAAAATCTATAAATGTACTTTTATTTTAGGTTTTAAAGAGTGTTGTAGCTAAGTTTAATGCATCTCAGCTGATAACACAACGACAACAAGTATCTCTATTGGTCAGAAAAGAATTGACAGATAGAGCACGAGATTTCAATATTATTCTCGACGATGTTTCAATTACTGAATTGAGCTTTGGAAAAGAGTACACTGCAGCAGTTGAAGCAAAGCAGGTTAGTTTCTTTGTATTCTATATTATTGGAGCAATTTTTCTTCTGAAGTTCTTCTGAAACATCAATCATATATCTCAGGCTTAGAACATTAATTTTTTCTAAGCTTGAGGTTTGTAGCTGGTTATACTTTGACAAGAAAAGTGATGTTCTAGTCGTTAAAAACTTCAAATATAAGACCAGCGTACAACCATTAATGAAATGCGAAGTTTATTTAGGCATAAATTATGAAATTTTTCAAACAGTTTACTGCCTGATACTTAAAAAACTGTGTTTCTAATATAGGTTGCCCAACAAGAAGCTCAGCGAGCCGCTTTCGTAGTAGAGCAAGCCAAGCAGGAACGACAACAGAAAATCGTGCAGGCGGAAGGTGAAGCCGAGTCTGCAAAAATGATATCCTTTAGAGTCCACTTTTTTAAATTTAGATTTGATTTCCCACCAAATGACGAAATCCAAAATATGAATGCTGCCACTTAATTTTACAAACCTGAGCTTTTATTCTGTATGTTTGTGAATCTTGGTGCCTGCATGCGAGAACTTTGCTAGCATTGTAAACGCAAACTGAACATTATGTTCACTTTCTTGAAATTCATTGAAACTACAGATTTGTTTCTTTGATTAAAGCAAGTGATACAGGTTTCTCTCTAATTGTTTGATTCAACTGGAGAGAAACTATTTACTTTTCCGAGTGGCAGCAATATTGATAATATCTTTAGTAATCTGATGGTGAAAAAATGTCAAACTATTTTGAAATATTACAAAAGTTGTTGTCTTTAGCTTTGATTTACTTAGGAGATGCCATTGCCGCTAACCCGGGATACTTGAAACTTCGGAAAATTAGAGCCGCACAGAACGTGGCAAGAACGGTAAAAACATTTTAACTGTTTCATCCAATATTTTAAGTTAATATAGTTGAATGATCTTGCAAGAACATTGTATATGGTGTATGTTAAAATGTATCAGTGTTCTTTCAGGATCTAACTTCTCCAAGTAAATAAAATGCTTTTTAATTTAATTAACTGCAATTTATCAACATGAGTTATGAGTGTTTTGAACTCCTTAATCATTCTGTACATATCTAATAGGTAAAAAAATAATCAAACAATTATTTTATATGATGATAAGTTTGTTTGTTAAGTTACGGCAACTCAACACTTGGACGATCTGCCTAGGGAGGATGCCTTCCGGAAGGTCTTTTTAAGGTTAACTGGCCCCTATTCAGATGTTACAGATGTGAAAAAACCCAGAAATCTCCACATAGCCAGTCTGTCCTGGCAAAGCACGAACCCATGACTGAACTCCCAATGTTCAGGGAACGGAACCACTTAGCTACTGGTGGGCCCTATGATTGTTAAGACTCAAAGACCAAAAACATTTGTGCATTGATTTAAAATAAATAATAGTTTAATTCTGTAAAATTATACAGAATTTTGTTTGAACAGCAGAAAAACAATGAATTAACAAAAACTGAATAATTTTCATAATCATTTTAACACTTAAAATAAATATGACTAACTGAATTTTTAATTTAATAATTCCATTCACATTTGAGAAAATAAATAAGTATCTAGTGAATTACTTTTATTGAAGTTATCACATATTTTCTTTCCTGGCTTGTTATAACATAACATAATGTGAGAAAGTATTGTAATTGTGTCAAATTTGTCTCTTTGCATCTTTGCAAATCTTGACATTTTATGATCCCCTGAACTCAAAAAAAAAAAAAAGGTAAAAAAGGGGAAGAGAATTCCATGTGTGTGTTGGCATCTCTTTCGTTTAACATCTCAGGATGGGATAAAGATTAAGAAATGAAATTTGGCATTGTAACTTGTGTATAAGGAGCATTGATGCTATTAAATTTTGGATTATGGAACTCGAGGAGATTGTGTCATATCTCGTGAGGTGGGACTAATGAAAATTTTACTTGTTATTGATATTTGGAATATTTTTAAAACTCATCTTTAATAATATCTTGTAACAGATGGTGCCTCACACAATTTTAAGGTCTTGTTATACTAAAATATAAAATTTTAGTAGTAACTGAAAATTATCAGACTTTTTCACGTTCACTACACAGATTCAACTGACTCATCAATACCTTCTGAAGGGTCATGACCAGCCAGTATATCAGTATTGCAACTGCTTTCTAAATGTAAAACACATACTGTGCGATTGCTCTGCCTTCGAGACGAGGCATAGACAGTATTTTGGAAATGCAAGTCTGACAGGGGTTTTGGGCCAAAGGCCAAATCTTGACAACCTACTTGACTTTATACATATTAGTGACTTTTAAAAAGAGATTTAACTATTTATTTACCTTTTACTTTTATATATATTGTTGTTTATATACAACAATAAAGATAAACACTTGTTGTTATTTTATATTGTGTATGTATGTATATATATATAAGTTGGACATATTGACCATTTGGCAAAGTGCAGCTTGGCCTATGTGGCTGAAGTTCTTTTATCAAAAAATACTTGCAAACTTTTTCCAGATTGTCCAAGGCAGCAGTGATAGATGGATCTAGCAGTTAAGAATAAATGTCTTAACTATTAAAAACATTTGCCAAAATTGACTTTATGGGGGAATGTGGACATAACTCTAGCTTTTCTCCAATTAAAGAGTGCTTTAATCTTTTATCTATTCTTTTCAATGAATAATATGAAGATAAAATATTTCAGACAAAATTCCAAGTTTTGGAATGTAGCCAAAACTTGTTAACATCTTTAGGATTTTTAGCTTATTAAAGTATTTATTTATTTATTTATTTATTTTCATAGCATTGCTAAAAATCTTCTTAATATACTTTTCAGATTGCCGCTTCGCAGAATAGAGTGTATTTGAATGCGGGATCGTTGATGCTGAATATTGCCGATAAAGATTTTGATATAGTTAGCACCGACATTCTCCCGGGAAAGAAGAAATGAAGTTAGAATTTTTTACATACTTTAAGCAAAATATTACAAATTATATGGGAATTTACATTATGTATAAAGGCAGGCCGAAGGTATGAGTTGTATGAAACCTAAACTTGTCTCGATATGCAGAAATTTAGTTTAAAAATTAGCAAATACAAATAAACCATTTTTCAATAAAACTATTTGATATTGCGTAACAAAGAGAAAATTAAGAAAATACACACACAATTAAACAGATACAACACACTTTAATCGACAATTTTTTTCTTATCCAGACAAATTACAATTTACTTTATGTACAGGATCATGATCACTTTTAACAAATTAACATCCGTCCATTTTTCTATCACCAGTATTTTACACCACTTTGTGGCTGTTTCACATTAACACCATTTTATAGCAGTTCTTTACAAGAATACGTAATTTATTTATTTATTTATTTTTTTTATAATACTGTTGCAAACAAAAATAGACTGTATAAATCACGCAAACACAGATGTTTAATTAAATCTACGACAACTACTGATATTGTAAAAATACAGTATCTGTTAGGAATTAAAAACTTGATTAGCATTCATCCAAATTGGACCCACTTTTTCAGGACTGTGAATATTGTTAAAATTTTACAGAGAATTTTTCAAAATTTTAGTTTTGTGAATGGGATTTTAGCATTTAACTAGATGATGATTGCTGCGTTGGTTTGGTATATCGTGGAGTTAATGGCAAGAAATTTACGTAGAAGTGGGTATACAGAATTTTGGATGAGGTGCACATTAAATGTAAGTTAAGTATACAATTAATCACTTCGATTATTTTAAATAAAGAACTTATACATAAAATGTAATTTTAATTATAACATAACATCTAATGTAAAATATTTTTATGATAATATAATACTGAGATAGTTGATAATGTATGATATGCAGATTCAAACGTTTAACTTTCTCCTTTCTGATAATTTAAAATTATCACAGTTTATGCTCTGGCTTACTGTCGATCAGTGTAAATTTGTTGTCGTTTAGTATTAACCCCTTGAATTATGTTTAAAAATGAAATTCTTAATGATCACATGATTAAATTTCGTACAGGAAAGTGACAAATAGTGATAACACGAAGATATAGCAAGGGTCTATAATGCCACGAGGAAAATTTTCATCCACAACAGACAACATACAGATTTAACACATAATCAAAGGGTTAATTTTCATTTTTAACTTACTAATTTAAACAGTTTGCATCAAGCAAATTTTCACACCAATAATTTTTAACAGATAGCAGCTTTAGAGCATTTTCTGAAAGACAAAGGAACACTGCATACTCTAGGTAAAGAAATGACGCAAGACTTTGAACTGTTTCGTATGCAGAGGATGTACGTATATAAAATTAACAAGGTAGATTTTAACAAGTAATATACTAATCTCAAAGTTAAATCACATCACACGCTAGTCTATGCACCATAGATCGTAATTGCATAGTAATGACGACATGCTAATTTTTCCTAGCATAGTAATCATAATTAGCAAAATTCTTTAGCTGTTCTAATTATTTATGTATCATTGTGGCACGACGTACACGTATAAAATTTAAGCAGCTTTTGGCTGGATTTAACAGTTTGAACGAGAGGTTAAAACTTTTTTTTTTGTAAGAGCATAAAATTTTAAGAATTTTTAATTAGATGTGCAAGTTACAAATTCTGATGTATCAAAATGTTTTTTGTTGGCTTTCGGTTTGTCTTATGAAGTGATGCCATGTGTTTAGTTTTGATCGTGTGAATGAATCGGTCACCGTGATCGATCAGACTTATACAAAATCTGCACTAAATTAACTCTTTAGCACCACGACAGCTTTACTTCGTAAATAAGGAAACGTTTAGAGAGTAAGGCAGTGTTGATTAAAAATCGTACTTTACAATAAAAATGACTATCACACAAATATGGCTAAATGTAGAAAATTCATAAACTGTACATTAATATATGTTACAAAATATAAATAAATAGGAATAATCTAGTCTTTTTTCCCCCTCAGAAAATATGGTAAAGAAGAAAAATCAGAGAACGGGTTGTTTTTTTTAACTATACAAATGTGTCATATAAAAATTATATTTTACTTCACTGACCAGATTTACGTGTTAATATTAATTCCATGCAAGGACTGTCTACAACTGCAACACCTACGCTGCTTCGTCGTAAAGTCATAGAAGTAACGAGCATCCATTTGTTGTGTCGAGGATTGTAGCGCTCGACCGTATTTAGACTGGAGCTTCCGTCGTTACCCCCGACTGCGTAGAGATAACCTTCCGCTTCGATAACTTCGTGCGTTGTTCTGAAATTGTAAAAATTGATTCTAATTTTTTGCAGTAAAATGGAACTTCCATTGTTACCCTGATCATATATACTGTATTGTCAAATCAAATTTACATACCTCCTAGACTGCATCGAAGGCATTGCTTCCCAAGCATTTCTCACTGGATCAAAGCGCTCCATTGTGCACATACACAAACTGCCATCATTTCCTCCAACTGCATAAAGCATACCATCTAAAGTAGTGACTCCACAGCTACTTCTTCTGTTTATCATTGTCTGTAAAGGCCTCCATTTTCCTTCCTATGATGATTTTTTGTAATTCAAAAATAAAACAATGATTTGAGAATAAACAGAATCAACACACAAGTATAATATCTGCAGATTTAACAGTAAATTTAATATATATTTCTTCATTGCTTACCCTTGGATCATATCTTTCAATTGAAGACAAGTAATTTGCACCATCATAGCCACCAACAGCATATATACATCCATCTAAAATAGTTAAATACATGAATATTGTAAATTTCTCTAAAAACTTACTTATTGTTTGTGTGATTTACCTAAAACTCCTAGTCGACAGTATCTCCTTCGAGTTTCCATAGCAACTACTGACGACCATGTCCCAACTAGAGGGTCATATCTCTCCACGCTGTTCAAACAAGATGCACCATCATATCCTCCTGCTACATATATCAAACCGTTAAGTGTAGTTATACCAAGACAACTACGCTTTGTTCCCATTGCATTTACAGGAATCCATTGACTGGTATGGGGATTAAAATATTCTGTTGATGCCAGATCTTTAGTGCCGTCGTATCTATTAATACAGAAGCAGTATTTTTGGAACGTTCCCAACAACAGCAGGGATATAATTTGGATCAATAAAAAGGCAGAAATAATTACAACTTACCCACCAACAGCATAGACTAGTCTATTAACTGCGGCCACTCCTGCTCGAGATCTGCGCTGCAGAGTCGGAGCAGTAGGATACCACCTGTCGGTTCTGGGATTGTAGCATTCGCATTCGGAATGTATTGTGAATAATGAACCACCTCCTTGAGAATATTTACTGAATTAATGTTTAAAAACAAATGCAAACCGTCGTAGAAGAAATCTTACCTATAGCAAATATGTAGGGCCTCAATTCTTCAGGTTTTCGTTGCGTGGTACGAACAGATATCATGTTAGTTCTGTGTTCTGGCATTAGATGATATTTCATTGCTTCAATTAGTAAATCTTTACTCTCTTGATTCGATTGGATAAGTGGTTCTTCTCCGATCTGCGTGAGCAGAAAGTCTCTGCCGATTAGAGGAAGTCGTACATGCTGCATCAACTGAAACAGTTGCAATATATGTACATAAATATATAGAATAATTAATTTAAAATTTCTAAACTACAGAACTTACTTTCCCTAAATATTCTTCTCTCATAGTTAAATCGTGTTTTATCCAAGTCATCACGGCATTATATACACATTCTTCGGAAGGAACATTGAGTTTGTTACTCGACATCAAATCTTCCACCTGGAGGGAAATCTCCATTTTATAATTATTTTAAATTAATTAATTTAACTTTAAATTCTGATAAAATACAGAACAATTTTGTGTTTTAGGATAATTAATTAGTCTTTCAATATAGTAATGTTATATATTATTAAATGTGATCATTTGATGATATATCGTCAGTTGAGCATTATAGAAAACAGTCACCTGACGATACGTCATCATTTCAAAAAATATTAGAGAGGATTTCATATTAAAATCAAAGATGGCAGCACTGTATTGCATGTTATTCTGTAGACTGTGTTCCACATACTTTCAACCACACGGCACCCTTTATCAGTTTATATGTAACTTTTTGAGGCACGAAATTCATTTAATACAATATTTATAAATCTTATATCAAAATGTAGATAAGAATATTCTTCTCCTTGCTGGCTTGGTGCCAGAAACTAAATAGGAATCGAAAATTTTTATCTGCTGTTAAAGTTACATTATAAGAATTTTTATTACAGTAGAACCTCGAAAACTCGGCTCTCGATAACCCGGCACTCCGGATAACTCGGCCACACCCTGGCAGGGCAAAAAAATCCTTAGTTAATTAATTTTCATTATAGACAGCTTTATAAAAGCATAAAAGCTCTCACAAAGTATTTTTCTGAGGTCTGTCTTATCAGGTAAATTACTGTACACAGTGTATTCATTAATTTTCATTTTCATGTAGTAAAGGCTCTATGCCTTCATAAAGGACGTACTTTTCCTTTGTTTAAGGGTATTTGGGCAGTTTATTCTCTGTTATATTCTCAAGTAAACAATACATACAAGTACAGTACAGTATTTTCTGAGGAAACACTCGTACTTATTTTTTTAACCCCATTCCCGATAACCCGGCATTTTCACAAACTCGGCCACCCTTCGGTCCACATTAGGCCGAGTTTTCGAGGTTCTACTGTACTAGCAAAATATACTGTACTGTCAAACTGTATAATGTAGTGAATATGTGTGACTTGTTTTCTTGTGTGTATGATGAAAACTAGTTTTTCGGCAAATTATTAAAACAATATACGTAGAGTGATCTTGAATGAACAAAGTTTGCCATGAGTGTTTTGCAAAGTAACAGTACAACCTGTTGATTGTACATAGGTTAATCTCACTCTTAAATTAGAGATTAACAGGATTATAATCAATAAAACATGACTTTTTTTTAACTGTTTATACCTTGTAGGTACTAAGAGGGCTTTTTTCCACATGTTCATTATAGGTTTTGCTAAATGGGATGGGACCAATCATAATCCAGGACAGATTGCCATGAAAAATTGTTAGTATTGCTTGCCTGAACTTGATCTCAAGACCACTGGAGTTACTACAGAATTGGCCTTGACTACTGTGGTACAGAGAGAAGTGCTGTTTTGTTTGTTAAATATTTTGATATTTCTAAATTGTTAATTTTGTTTATTCAGATGAAAACACATTGAACTATATTACAATTCAAATTCACTATCGTATACAAATCGGGCAAGATAAGCTGCCTGTTGTTGAATTAAATCTAATAATTATTTGTGAGACCTACTTAATAAAATGCAGTGCCTTTGGGGCAGATGGTACCTTATGGGCTTGACTAATGTTTCTACTGGATGATCAAATGGAAAGTTCGGTCATGATTGATGCTCGACCTTTCTTTGACTGTTACTGCATCACAAGTAACAAATAAATTGCTGGTGCCCGAACTTTTTGCGTGTCACTAATCCGCAGCATTGCCGAGGAATTTTTCATATGTGGTCCATCTGGATAATTTGGGTCCCATTCCTCACCACCCGGCTGACCCATTGTTGGCCTGTCCAAACTCATAATGGTTTTGCTAAAAAAAGCCCTCTTGGTGCCCATAGGATGGAAAGGGTTAAATTAATTAAAGGACAAACTGAGAATTTGGGCATTACTTGTTTTGTTTTAATTTGATTACTATGCATTTCAATTACAGTTTTATGGTCAAACAAGAGCTAGTATTTAATAACAACTAATGTTTATATAGAAGAATTATTGAGAGAGATAATTAAAATAGTAACCTGACTAAAAGGTAACAAGAGGAATTCTTCCGTCAGTGCAACTTCTTGAAAATTCTGTAATGCATATTTGTGAGATTTACGCTGTAACTCTTCACAAGCATGAGCATCAGCAAAACTTCGTATACCTAAACAATTGGAAGGATGAAGTTGCCTGAGCAAAAATTTGCAACAAGCATCTCTCACTGTTGAAACTTGCAATAAACTAGCTACAGGAAGAAGTGCCTGAAAACAAAATCTAATATAAAATTTATTTTGCAAACAATATTTAACCGTAGAGAGTGGACGAAAAAATGGTTAAAACCAACCTGAACGTTTTCTTCGGTAATGACGATTTCGCCCGTGTACGCAAACTCTATTAATTTTTGCAGCGCGGACGCGTCGACGTCGTGCATGGTGATTTCGGATTTGTGCTTTTCTGCCATTTCATCTGTTGGAAAAAAGTTTGTCAAGTTAAATGCAAATTCTATTTGTATAGAATTTTTCTTTATAAAGAACAAATTAGACCAAACTGTTAAACATTGCGTGAAAATAGGCACTGGAAGCAGCGAGAACGACTTTATGGGCATGGATCATTTCGTCTCCCACCTGGAGCGATATATCACATAACTGTCCTTTCTGGCGCATGCAGTTCATAGCAAGAAATGCGCTACTCTGATGATCAGTGTAGACATGATGTATACGATGTGGATGCATTGTATTTCCATTAAGTGTTTCCATGGTGTCTCCATCCATTACCATTTGATAACTGTATAAAACAGAGAAAAAAAAATGATTATTTACATTAAAGTTAAATATTTTAATAATACTGTTAACAGGAAACAACCTAAATATATTTTGGAGTTTATAAATAATGATGACAAGTCATATTTTTGAAATGATTAACAAAATTTGGAACTAAACTCTTACAATTGCATGTAGATATAATTAAAATAATTTCTTGATTTGTCAACTTAAGGAATTGATGCATTTAAAACTACAGGATTATCTATAATTTTGACAATTACGAGCTGGAGTGGGCCAAGGTTGAGTAATGATGCCCAATTTGATAAAATGGGGCATCGTTACTCCACCCACTCTTTGATAAATTATGCCATTCTGGAATGGACTTGGAGTTTGATATACAGTGCTCTACTGCTTGACATTCTGCCAATCCTTGGACTTTGATGTCAATTCTTCTAGACTAGAAACAATTAGAATAGCCAGTCATAAAATCTCTAATTACAAGTATTGTTTAGGCTCTATTTTATTCAAGTATTTACTTCAGCTTGTTTACAATAACATCTAAAGATTGAACTTTGACATTTTAGAAGCTGCTAATTTGCTAGAGAGATTTTTACGGTGAAAAAGTAGCTTCAAAATTCATTGCCAAGAGAAAAATGATGATGGTGGATAACAGAGTAATATTGATTTATAGAGGTAAAATTTATGAAAATAAATCTGATGTTTTTAATGGAATGCAGAATTTTGCTAGGGTAATTGGGAAATGAGATTGGACAGGAAAAAAATCAAAGTATAACACTAACAAATTCTGAATCTATATCACAAAGAAATAGTTATCGACATGATTGTCCGAAGAATTGCATAGAAACATGTTTTTTTTTACGGCTGCTAGAGGCTCAGAGTAAATGTTGCTGCCTGTTTACAACAAAATGTGTTAGCAATATAAAGATGCACATTAACTTTTTGACCAATAAAAGCATCTCTTGCATCTCCACTGAACAGCCCAGATTTGGCACCCACCAATCCTCTCAGCACCATAGTAGAAGTTATGAGGAATCCAACGCTGTCCACAATGGTAGCAACAAAGCATTAGAGTCAATTCTGAAGAACATCTCACAGGACAGGTTACTACACATTTCAAGGACCTGCAGAAACGATGGCAGAATCCACAATAATCAATCACTTTAACTGATAAATTCTCTTCTGTTTCTTCTGGAAAACATTTTGTTTTATCAAGTTATACAGAAGTATTTAAATTTTGCTTGATTAACATGGCTGTGAATAAGTATACTTTAATTATTCCACTTTTCTAATGCTTATAACAAATGATGTGAAAGAATAAAAAAATATTATACTGGCTTAAATTATTGTTTGGACATTTCAATCAATGCGTAATTGTTTGAAAAGGAATATTATGTTCCATTAGCAGATGGCACAGCTATCTCGACAGATTGGTTACTGAAAGATGGGTCAGATCCCACACGAGGCCAAATATATTTTTTATGTTCTGAATCGTGATGTACATTAAAGAATTTCTTTACATTTTAATGATTCATTTTTTGCCAAATGGAAACAAACATAAGATTGACCTAAATCGGACTTAAATCCTCAACTACTTAATGTACAGACATGTTATCACTTATGCTGTGTAGCATAACTGATATGTCTTGTTTTCAGATAAATAGGTGATTCATTTTAATCAGTACTGAATAATTCAAAATATACATACTGCAAGAAAATTTAACTTCAAGGACACCACAAAATGACATAAGCTTTTGTCATAGATGTGTTAACTTCAAGGGGACCACACAAGACGGCACTGTGGGTTTTGTCATAGATGGTGTTAAAATCAGTGAAAATGGGTGCCGGTCAAGTTTGTTTTCTTAAACAAATCCCCAGTTTTTCATTGCATGTTTGTTTCTGCATAAACAAACTGGAAGGTGTACTTAGAAGTTACAAGCTTTTCAACTTTTACTAGCTGCTACACCTGTGGATAATTGTGAAGTTTATTGAAAAATGACATGGACCAGTGGAATGGCCCCCAAGATTGCCAGATATAACTGCCTGGCTTTTATTTGCAGGGATATTTAAATAACGTCTATAAATAGGAACCAATGTCCAGAGTTGATACAATCCAAGGTTCGACCAGCTTGTACAAACATATCGTGGAATATGTTACTAAACCGAGACATTTCCAACAGAGAATTGACTTATACATTTAGGAAAATGGGAGATGTCTTTGAACGTTGTTTACAATAGAAGAAAACTGTGAAGAGGCAAGGAGATTAATATTAATTAAGCACTCCACTAAAAGTTTAACATGAAAAATGTCCTCAAGCTAGCTGTGTGTGATAACATCTTGAAGTTTTTAAAAGTTAAATGGATTGTTTCAAACAAACCACCCTACATATTAAATAGAATTATTAGATGATCAAACATAATTTGCTTGCGTACAAAGCTTGACTTCTTGTTGCACCAAGTCTTTCAAACATAAGTACATTTTTCAGGTGAGAGAGAGAGAGTAAACATTTTACACTTTGAATAACTAGTTTAATAGATTCAAAATTTATGCTGTTTCAAAGTTGCATAGGTAATAAAATATTTAAAACTGTACTTTACTTGTTGTGCCAAAATAACAAAATTTGCATTAAATAATGCATTTTAAACTAGCTAAAAAAGTGTTATTTACTCTCACATTGCATTTATGACTTTCACATTTTTATAAAATCAAAAAATTATGGGATGTCTGTTGTGTCAGAGCAGCAAATGGCCTTCTGCTATGCACGACTTTAAAGAAAATTTCCTGTGTTATGCCTTGTTTACTTTGTTTATTTCCTACAGGCTCAAGGGATATCATTAGAAACTCCTTGTTGGCATCATATAATTTATTTATAAGGAGTAAAGTTTTTAACTGATTATATAATAATAAAACAGAGTGAACAATTATTTTTAAGTAGTCATAATGCTGGGCTGCAATTTTTTAATTTAAAGAAATTGTGTGATTTCCACTCAGGACCAGAAGTTCAAATATAATTAATTAGGGCCTCCGGCAGCTAAGCTCTCTATTTTCATCTATCTAACTCTGTTAACAATGGACAGACAGATAGACAACAGTAGGAATGTATATATCTGCAATTTGAAAATTGCAGGAACGTTTGTCCTTTGTGGTAAAGCTAAAGAATGAAGATTTGATATAAGAAAAGTGTTAAAAATTAACACTTTTAGCCGATTTGAGAAGCAATGTTAATACTGTACTTCATATGCATTTGGTTTGTTTTAACTAATTGGCATGCAAAGGTGTCATTTTAAATATTTTTCAGTCCATCAAGAACTGTGTAAAAGTTTGAATTTGGTTTGAACAGTGATTTATATTCATTAGCAAGCCGAAGTTGTCGTAAAACAGGATGAAAAGTTTCTTTTTAGTAAATTTAAACGATTAGTTACCTGAAATAAGCATTTAATATGGATAATGTATGAGAAAAAGGTTCTAAATACTGAACAAATATAAGTTCAAGAACTTTACCGAGTATTACTTGCTCCTTTTTGAAACTGTTAATTTTTAATTTACCATTTTTCCTATCTAAACTGAAAACGAGAGCATCCCATCGTTTAATATACGTTAGCGAGCTGTCACTCTGAATTCTTCTAATTAATTTAATATCATTAACCACAATTAATCATTAAATTTTATGCATTTATGAACATTTAAATTTTAATTAAATATGAACCTTAAATCCTAAATTTTATATGATTTTGAAGGCAAGTTTACATAAAAAAAATGTTATTTACCATTGTCAATTTGATGTTATTCCTGGGACACAATTGGCTGTTCGTCTATGTCCCAGGAACAACAAACTGATGAATGTCCAATGCAGACTGTTGAATTATTTATTAATATAGGCAATTTTACAAGAAAAATAATATCATCTGGGTATTAAAACTTCAAAATTAAAGAAAATTCCAGTGAAAAGATTGATTCAGAACAGTACTCTAACCCACAACTCTTTCTTACCGGACTTTTGGGTTTTATTCTGTGTTTATAAACTAATTGGCCACTTCAGATTTTTAATTTGAATTATATAAATTTGCCGATGGAATAACAACAGAAATATTAAGCATACACTTGTAATTCTGTGCCAGAAAAGTAAGTTTAATATAATGAAATTGAATAATCATTTGAGAAATGCTGCTATAGATGCATTAATGGGGAAACAATTAATTGTTTACTTATAATGGTATAAACAAATATTTTAATCAGACATGAGTCTAAATTGCCAGCTTTTAACACATGCCATATATGTTGTATATATTAATATTAAAAGTGTGCGCCACTTTATGACAGGGATAAATTCTTGAATGACTTCATTATTAAGCAAATTATCATATTTAGACAAACCTAAATGAGTAGTAGAGTGTTGCAGTTGTGTTGCATATGGCATATATAATATACTGATACATTTGTATTACATGTGACACTACTAATTATTTAATAGGTGCAAACAGCTATGAATTTTTCAGCTCCATTATAATCTTATGCGATTTCTTCATTAAGCGGAATACCTTAGTTTTGTAGTTATTGGCGTTTATTAATAGGAGATTAGAGCTACTACGCTACTACTATACGTTAGAAAAATAAGGAAAATAATTCAATTGCTAAACAATAATAATAATTAAAATTACAAACTGTTTCTAGAAGGTAGGCACTCAAAGAACAACTCATTTTAAAATGGATGCCATTTACGAAGAGCTTTATTTTCTCTATTATAGGGCACTTTTATCATGTGAGAAAGTATAAAATTTAAATACAATTTACACATGAATTCTATCTGTAAGAAGAACGAGGATTATAAAACTTCAATGCAGAAAGATACATCTACATTAGAACTAATTAAAATTAACCTTGTAAAGGATGAATGGGAAATAAGAATAATGCAATGTAATAGTAAGATGTAATAGAAAGTAGCTTACTTGTTAGGAGATGTCTCGTACATAAATCCAATTCAAACTAATTTTCTTGGAGCAAAA